AAAGAATCCAATTTAAAAAATGAACAAGAATCTGAATAGACATTTCTTCAAAGAAGAAACACACATGGTTCACAGCACCTATCATCAGTCAGCTGGGAGATACAAACCAAAAGAACATCGAGATTCCATTTCAGACCCATTAGGACTGTGACTTTTCAATACCCCAGAAAATAGCATTGGTGGTGAGGATATAAAAAAATTAGGACCTTCTTTCTTGGTGTGGCATATAGGATGCTGCTGCCACTGTGGAAAATAGTGTGGTAGTTCTTCAAAAAGTGAAATTTAAAATTATCATATTACCCAGTAATTCTCCTAAGTATATACCTTAAAGAATTGAGGAAGATACTCAAACAGAAATTGGAATAATAATATCCACAGCATCCCAAAGTAGAATTAATTGAGATATCCACCAAATGAAAATAGAAAAAATGAAGTATGCCCAGGTGACAGAATCATATTTGGCCATAAAAAGGAATATTACTGATGCATACTACACTATAGATGGACCTTAAAAATACCTTATTAAATAAAAGAAGTCAGACACAGAAAGTTATATATTATATGATTCCACTTATATGAAATATTTAAGATAGTGAAATCCATAGGAACAGAAAGCAGCTTAATATTCAGCCTAGGGGCTGAACGAGGATGAAATAGGACATGACTATTTAGTGGGTATGGAATTTCCTTCCTTTTCTGGAATATTTTGAAACAAAAGACGATGGTTGCACAGCCTTATAATAGTAGTAAATACTGCTGAGTTTTTGGTTTGGGAGTTTTTTATTTTTTGTTTTTTGGTGTGGTTTTTGTTGTTGCTGTTCACTTTGGGTTGGTTTGTTGTTTGTTTGTTTGTTTTTTGTTTTGGTAGTACCGAGGGTTGAACTCGGTGCTGTATGCTTTCTAGGCAGAGTCTCTCCCACTTGAGCCATATTTCCAGCTACTTTGCTTTGCTTATTTTTTTAAGGTAGGGTTTGGCTTTTTTTGTCCATGCTGGCTTAGATGGTAACCCCCTATTCCTACTCACTACTGTAAGCTGAGATGGTCATCTTGTGCTACTACATCCGACTTTGTTGACATAGGATCTAGTGAACTTTATTTATTTATATTTTTTGCCAGGGCTGGCCTGGGACTATGATTCTATGCCTCCCAAGTAGCTATGATATAAATTGCCCATTTTAAAATAATGTGGAAGTGGCAAGAAGGAACTATCTGAAATCCAGGTATTTCCTACTTTAGTTGGATACCCGGTCAATGATAGCAAAGGGAACCAGTAAGTTACTTCGGTTGACAGATAAATGTATCCTTCAATACCTTCTGCAAATAAATTCTCTTTTCACTCTCAGGAAGGTAGGATTGGAATTTCTAACCATCTCCCTCATTGTTCACGTAGTAGACAGACTCATTTATTTCACTTGTGGGCAATCTGACCAAAGTGTGCCTAAAAGAAATCACGTATTGCAGACCTTGGTCCACAGTAAACGAGGAAGTAACTTTCAAAGCTCTTACAGTTTGCCACTAGTTAAACTGAGGTTGTAATGCTACCTAGTTTCCAGTTTATACACAAAAATCCAAAGAACTTGAGATTCACAAATTGATATAATTTCATAATTATATGAATTTCATAATGAGTTTCATAATTTAATAAGAATATAAATTTCATAATTTCGATATGAATTTCATAAAAATGGAGAGCCTTGCAGATGAAAGTTGAAGCAAGGGTATATTTTAGCTAAGAGAGAAGAATAGAAAGAATTAGAGAAAAGGAAGAAACATTTCCTGCCCTTAATTTCATATAGTGTTTTTTACCTGGAATCTTTATAAAGCAGGCTGGAGGGAATATATGTGATCATGCCAGTGTAGCAATTCCTGATCATCAGAGACAATCAGTGGTTCTGTGTGGCCATAATGATTGCTGTTTATTATTCTGAAACATGGAGATGTACTCCAGGCCTACCCAGAACACAGGGACAATAGGTGTTTCAGGACTTCCCTTTGCCAGGTCTGACCTCCACTTGTGAAGAGCGTACAGCTTCGTAACACCTTAAAGTAGAAGACAGGTGCAGAGAAGCCAATTATGTTCTTATTCGTGTAACTTCTAAAGAAGGTGATAGAAGGTGAGCTGGCTAATTTGGTTTTTCAGTGTACTTCCTGGTTCTAATTTCTGTGTCTGCCACATTCAGTATTTATTGGGGTTTGTTTTTGTTTTATTTATTTTCATGGCTGCTCATCTATCTACCCTGTGCCATTATAATATCCAGTCATCTGGGCTATCAACAGAGGAAATCTGATGGTCAGGTGACCTTGTGCCCATGTGACTATGTGCTAACAATCAGCTGGGGTTGACAGCATGTGCCCCCTTGAGACTAGTCAAAGATTCTCTGTCCCTTTCCTCCTACTGGGTTACATGTCAGGTTGCTCGTCCTCCCTCCTCTCCTCTCACCCCTATAGCACCACCACTGAACAGAACCTTCACCTTTAGACTCTACTCCGAAGAGTATCGTAAAGACTCCCATTAAAAATGTAAGTTTGCCATCTGGAGGAGAGAGTAAAAGTCCCCAGAGCCACAACTTGTTCCCACAGTAGAAGAAGCTCCAGGTAAGATCTGTTCATGTGCAGCTAAGATTGGGGTAGAGGGAAGAAGCTCAGGTGATAAGAACCAGCTAGGCTAGTCCCGGTTTTTCAGCCCGAGGGCAGGGATTAGTGGTGGACAGGAGAGGGGAGCACAAAGCAGACTTCTCAGCTTTGGCATGCCACTAATTCTGCCAGTGTCACAGTGTTGCCTGGGATGGACTCCCTTCCGAGCTCAGGTTAACTTGGTTGGCCTAAATATGTTGTACTATATGCCTGGTTCTTGCATGTTTTTGGCCTCTGGGGTGTTGTATAACTCCAGGTATGCCTGGACTACCCCAGCTGTCCGAACCCTGCCAAGGAGTTACAATCATGTAACCAGCCCCTGGTGAAGCCTGGCTTTTTTGTTTTGTTTTGTTTTCTTCTTCTAATGCAATGTGGAAGCAAAGAACTTGAGACTATCCTTTTAGTCTCTGGAAATTGCTCACCTCCATAAAATGAAAAGCAACCATTCTGACATCAGGCCACAACCAAAAGGATCAGGAATAACTCAGGGTCACTTCTGTGGCTCTCCCTATTCTTGTGCATACATAATTCCTAGGCCTTATGGCTTTCCTAGATCAGAGTACAGTGTTACCCTCACAGAAGCCAGCTGATGTCACCTTCCCCAAAGCTCCAAAGGCAGTCATGATCCTAATCTAATCACACTTTTATTTGGGCTTACTTTGCCACCTTCCCCCTCCCCCTTCTTCTTCTTCTTTTTTTTTTTGCCAGACTTGGAATTAAACTTTGGGCCTGCCTTGTTCTTGCTAGGCAGATGCCCTGCCACTTGAACCATGCCCCCAGCTCTTGTTTTGCCTTTTTGATTTTGAGTAGGAACCTTTGGCCTCTTCTCTGATACTGTTCCGTCAAGAGTTGCAGTAAACTTGGAAGAATGCCAGTTTGGAGCTTCAGTTGCTGTTATCTGTAAGGTGCCAGACATATTCAGACACTTGGACCATAGTGGAATCAATAAGAAAAACTGAGTTGTGGTTTTATACATTTTTAGCAAGGAAGCAACAATAGGAAATAGTGTGTAAATGTGGACAAGTCACCTTCCCCCTGGGAGCCTCTAATTTCTCATCTGGGAAATCCTACTTTATAACATTAACTCATTCAATGAACCAAGACATCCAAACACTCCATCTCAAGGCTGGACGTAGTTATTGCTCCTTAGGCTGCTATTATTATCATCCTGAGTCTGAAAGCTATGAGATCATAGTTGAAAAATGTAGCTTCAGCAAGGGTAGTTTTCTCATAGTTGCTCCTGCTAGAGTAGTTTGGAGCTGAACTTGGCTGGAAACTAAGACAATCTGGGATGAGGACACTTTTATGGCTTTAGTTCCTTGAGATCTTTTCCTGGCCTCAAACCTCAGTGCTCACCATGTGTTCAGCCCGGTATCTGGCACCCTTTTTGTGCACCTAGATAATGTTTCTCTTGAGATAGGGGTGGGAAATAATTTCTTAGGGGTCCCTGGGGGAAAGGACATTGGACACAGTCAATTTGTTAATCTCAGAGGCTCTCCTCATACTCCCCTCCCCAGAAAGAAAGAAAGAAAAAGGAAGAGAGAGAGAGAGAGAGAAAGAAAGAGAGAGAGAGAGAGAAAGGAAGGAAGGAAAGAAGGAAGGAAGGAAGGAAGGAAGGAAGGAAGGAAGGAAGGAAGGAAGGAAGGAAGGAAGGAAGGAAGGAAAGAAGGAAGGAAGGAAGGAAGGAAGGAAAAAAAGAAAGAAAGAAAGAAAAGGAGAGAAAGAAAGAAAAGGAGAGAAAGAAAGCAATGAGAAAGGGTTATCTGGCCAGCAGGAAATGTCCTTCAGGCAAAATGATTGATTTCTAAAACCTGTGACGTCACCTCTCCAGACGTCTCTCCTCTTCTGTTTGGTTAACACAAGGGAGATTTAACCGGAAGAGTCCCTGACCTGTGGGTCTGCCTGAACTGAGCAGGGGAAGCTGCCTGGCACAGCCGGCTCTGTCTCAGCTTAGGCTGGGTCCAGCTGACCTTCCTCTAGGCTCTGGGAGCCAAGACTAAAAAGGCAGTCAGTTCTCAAAATTATCTGGGAAATGATTAACTTCTCTTCTTTGATCCTTTCCGCCTTGTGTGAGGACGGTCAAGTGGCCAGGGTGGAGAACGCGTTCTGTAATTTCCACCATTGCTAAGGTAAACAGTGGAAGAACTTCTGCCAGAGAGATCCACCTCTCTTTGGAGAGTTTGAGTGTGTGTGTGTGTGTGTGTGTGTGTGTGTGTGTGTGTGTGTGTGTGTGTGTGTGTGTGTGTGTGTGTGTATGAGAGAGAGAGAGAGAGAGTCTCTGTAAACACAAACTATTAAGTAAAAAACTATAGCTGCTTCCGCTGACTTTTTTTTCTTGCTCTTCCCCTCCCCCCTTTTTTTAAGGTCTACGTTCCCTGCTGCTGGTCACAAGGATGCTTTTTATCTTTAACTTCTTGTTCTCCCCACTTCCCACCCCGGCACTGATTTGCCTCCTGACTTTTGGAACGGCCATCTTCCTATGGTTGATCAACAGACCTCAGCCATTCTTATCCCCCATTGACCTGGATAATCAGTCTGTGGGAATTGAGGTAATTTTCCAGCCATCGTTCTAGTTGGATAGCCTTGTTGAACCAAACTATAGCTTCAGGTCCAAGGGATAATTCATAAAGAGGAAGGAGTTTAGGTATAGTGTAGGAAAGAAGACTTTTTAGGTTGCTGATCAACAGGCCAACTACAAATTTAAAATTCCATTACTAGTATATTTTTCAAAAACAAAATTAAAACATAACTAGATCACAGGATGCCAGAAATCAAGATCTGAGGTTGGCGAACTACAGACTTTAGGCAACTTCTTTTCTTGGTAAGCCGAGAAAAGTTTTCGTGTTTTTCATGGGACAAATAAAAAAGGAGAGGGGTCACACTAAATTTCCCAAAGCCTAAAATAAGTCTCATCTAGCTGCTTAGAGAAAAAGTCTGCTAATGTATGACAGAGACAGGAAGTAGGGAACACTTTCATAGAAATACCCATCATTTGAGAAGGGTTAAAGATGTTTTCTTGATTTTAAGTCTGACATCAAGTTAACAATCATTCTGAATACTGGTAGAAAATGAAGGGCTAATTTCTCCTAGTTTTTATCAAGGCACCGGCTTCCTCCTACACCTGTGTTGACACTTGGAAAGTTCCAAAATTGTTCTTTTCATCTCTTTGTGAATAGCATTGTCTCCTTTCATCTTATTTCTTCTTCAGAGGGCAACATATTCTTGTTCCTTTGCAGACTGACAACCCTTTCTCTCCTTTTCACAAGCTCCTTTCATCTACTCAGGAATCTTACCTCAAGAGTCCTGTGTTCTCTACCATCCCACCATCTTTTGTGCCATCAAACGTTCCACCTTTCTTTGCGATTTTGCTGTCCTGTCTGCCCCCAGCCACTCTCTTCTCTCAGTCTTTCCCACCAGAGATCTTTAGGAGTAGTCTCTGTGTTGATTTCTTCTTCTGACCTTCAACCTCTCCAGTCTGACCTTTTGCCATTCAAGCCTTCTCCATGGTACTGGAGACATATCTTTATTTACAACCTACCTTCTGAATTCAATGGCTTCTCCTTTAAGCTTTCTCTCAACTGACCTGAGACTTCTTTCTTGACACTTTTTGTCATACTCTCTATGAGGTGTCTTCCTAAACCAAGGAAGTTTTTCATTGTCACCTGGGTTTTTTCCTCTCTTTATCCTAGGGTGTTTTTTTTTTCCCCTCAACATCTTTTGATTCATTTATACTAGTTGGCAAATGCACTCTCTACCAGCCCATGCAGGAAATAGTTTAGATTTTATGAGATAGATGGTCCCTGATGTAGCTTGTTTATGTGTCTGTAGTTGAGTGAACGTATCAGTCAATATGCAAACAAATAAGTATGATTGTTCCAATAAAACTTTATGTACAAAAGCAAATGATATGCCAGATTCAGCCCACAACCTTTGCTCTCTACCTTCTAATGGCTGAGAAAACATCTCCCTTTAATGACTTAGAAATGTGCCTGAAAGCTGTGAGATCCAAATTTAATCTTGTAGATCTCACCTCAGGAAGCCGAAGTAACTCAAGCTCTGCATGGCTCTTCATTTCACTTCATGTTCCCTTTGTTCTCTGTCTCTGTCTCTCTCTCCCTTTCTGCCTTCCTTCCTCCTCCCATTTCTCTCTCTGTCACTCTCTCTCTCTCTCTCTCTCTCTCTCACACACACACACACACACACACACACACACACTTTTCTGTTCTATCTCCAAAGATGATGAATTGTCTTTGGTTCTCTCTTCTCCTGGAAATATTCCCTTGGGTTCTATACTTGTTATTTATGCCCTTCAAGTGCTTCCACACCTGTAGCTCCTTCCATCTGGTAGCCTAGTAAAAAGGTCCCTATCTGTTTCCTCTGTCTTCAATTCCCAATTTTCTTTTTTTCTTTTTGTCAGTCATAGGGTTTGAACTCTGGGCCTGAGCACTGTTCCTCAGCTCTTCAACTCAAAGATAGTGCTCTACCACTTGAGCCACAGCACCAATATCAGTTTTCTGGTGGTTTATTAGAGATAAGAGTTTCACAGCCTTTCCTGCCAGGGCTGGCTTTGAACCGTGATCCTCAGATCTCAACCTCCTAAGTAGCTAGGATTATAGGCATGAACCACCGATGCCAGCTCAATTCCCAATTTCCTATTTTCTTCCCCCAGCAGTAATCTTATGATTTGATTTGCCCCCTCTTCTTTAAGCTCCCCTCCTCCCCTGCCCTTTTTCAAGTTGTTCTTTTCTTCTGGTTGTTGCTCTTTTTTCTCTCTCCTACCTTACTCAAATTATGTCTCTACTAAAATCTTATTTCTTTGCTGGAACCTTTTTACTTTTTATATAGAATCAGCTGCTTCATTTATTTCCCAAATCATATATTTTTATTATGGTATGTACTTCACAGTATTACATTTGCATGTCTTTCCCCTTCTTACCTACCACATTCCATAAATGTCAATATATGAAGTGCTCAAAGCTCCCATTTGATCTAAACTCGCATCTATAGTATCTGTGCCCAGTGCCTTGGATGTAATGTAGTATGATGCATTTGGCATAAATTTAAACTTGACATTTTCAAAAAATAGAAATCTATGCATAGAAAAATCTTTCTCCTCCTCTCTCTCTCTCTTTCCCTCTCTCTTTCTCTCTTCATCTTTATATGCATTTACATTTATATGTTACCAGATTTCAGGTCAGATTTTCTGTTTTCTTTAGGTTCATATATTCCAAAATTTCTGTGGTGTGATCATACCACAATTATGAGATTTAGAAAACTGAATTAGAAAATTGATTCAGGTTTAGAAAATTGATCAATACATGTCAGATTTTATTAGCTTTTCTTTATAGTTCCACTTGTTCCAAAATTTCTGTGCTAATATTTTACCACAGTGAAGAGATTTAGAAAACAGATAACATCACTGTGACCTCAAAATCATCACTCGCGTGCTCTTCAGCTCAGCCCCTTAAGTTTTTGTAAAGAGTACAGTGAGACTTGCACTTGGGCCTAAACTTGGTCTTGTGTCTTAGGGAGGAGCGCGGAAGGGTGCTTACCAGAAGAACAACGACCTTATGCGTTATTACTTCTCAGATGCCAAGACAGTATATGAAATTTTCCAGAGAGGACTTGCTGTGTCTGGTAAGCCTGGCCTGGCCTGTAAGAAGCTTCAGGTAGAACTGTCCCACATTCTTCTCCTCTGTCTCATTTCTAAAACCCCAGCTCTTTAGATGTCATGGCCCAAAAAGGAACATAATGTACAAGTAAAGGCAACATTAGCCTCAGCATGGGGGATAAGTCTTGGACATGGTGCAAGAGAGATGTGGTTTTGAAACCTACTTCTTCCATTTGGACCCACTGGTTAAGCTCACACAAATGACTTTGCTTCTCTGATCTGTTCCTCAACAGAAGAAACTTCCTTGACCAGTGTCAGGAGATAATGAGGTATGGGAAAGGCTTTTGATTAACTCACTAGTAATAGCATGTGTTCAAGAACATGCTTGTTGGAAATAATTTTCTCTGTGTTTACACAGGGAGAGTCTGAGGCAGGATTAGCAGTCTAGATTCTTAACTTCTTATCGTGCCCTTGGTTCCAATGCAATATTTCTAGCCCTGCCACGATACTTAATATCGAGGCAATTAATAGAGGCAATTATCTTGGGGTTTTCTCTGAAACAGCACCAAGTAGGCTTCTGATCATTTGGAACAGATCTAGTCTTTATATTTTGTATCACTGAACACAATGCTAGGAAGCCAAATTTTCTTTCAAAATCTCCTGGCTGTTAGCTCTCCTTGAGTGACACTTTGCTAGGTGTAGTTTTGCTTGAGTGGCTACTTATTTCTTCCTTCCTTTCTGCCTATTAATGATATCTGATGGTCTTTGTAGCCAACTTATCAAGTATGGGATAGATACTCCACATACATTATTTACTTCATCTTCGCTAAGCTCCAGGGGTTAATTGTAGTCCTCCCTGTTTTTACAAATAAAGAAATGGTAACTCCAAGCTCGAAGAATATTCCAAAGGTCACAGCATTAGGAAATGTTGGAGTTGATATTGAAGCCCATGTCTAGCTGATTGGACGATTCTATTTTAGATTAGCTTTTAGTGTTTAATAAAAATAGTTAACTCTTCTAGAAATGACCTGTTTATTATAAAGAAAGCTCCATGAGATCCTTTATTTAAATGTCTTTCTGGGGTCCCAATTAGCATTTGTTTACACTCCATGCAATAAAACAAAAAACAAAAACAAAAAGAAAACTAAGCTTTCATTTCTTAACTTCTCTGAGAAGTTCTTAACTTTTCTTAACTTGTCAGAGAGTTGGTAGCTTAAAACAGTAGGATGTCCTTTGGGATTTCTGTTTTTAGAATTTTTATTTATGGAACATGTATTGTTATTGTGACTAAAACAAAGTCATTTGCCTATGATATATGGCTGTGGCACATAGAAAGTGAAGGTGCAAACAAGCATGAGTAATGGCTTACCTGCTAACATAGAAAAATGATAATTGTGTTACCTGGGTTGAATATGTTAGTATAAGTATAACCTTCTAAGTCCTAGCCAGTAGTGGTTCATCTACATTGAGAATCATCTGTGGCTATCATTTGAATTTATTAGTCCCACTGAATCAGGATTTCGGGTGGTGAAACTTAATAAACCCCAGGAAGTATTTTAAAATTGCATAGCTTCTGAGGATTCTGCATATCAGAGTTTAAATTCTTCTTAGCTTGAGGGGCCTACTTGGCCAAGAAGTTGTTTATTGCTGGGCTCTTTGGAGCTAGCCACACCTTAGAACCCAGCGGGTCTGAAGTGATTAAGTTAATAAAAAGTGACCAGGCTATTGCCTGGTCATGGTTCCAGCTAATAGGCTAAAGTTGGCTAGGGAATAGAATTTAATGAGATTTGAATTATTGTCCCATTGGGGCAATTACTTGACTTCTTCCTTGGCCAGGGGCCTCTCTTAGCATTTCTATTAATCAAGAAATAATAAGGAGATGTAGGGTATTTTCTTCTTCATTTGATAGCTCAACCTCTTCCTGGATGAGCTTGAAAACGTTGCCCCAATCCTCCATAATTCTTACTCCAGTAAGTCTGAAAATCGTGGGAGAGAACCAAAGAAATTAATGTGCCTGGCACAACACAAGCTTTCCATCAGCAGGTAGCAATCATTAGTGACTAGCATTACAACATACCATGTCACAACAGTGTCTGATGCTGTCCACTGGTGGAACAGGACTTGCCACACTTCAGGGAAAGTTAAGATTGAGAGTTTTACTTCTAGAGCTACACTGTAACTATTGCAACAGAAAGAAAAGTGCTACTGTTTCCTCACTCATATTTTGTATTTCCCTAACCAGAGTAAATGTCCTTTTCCTGCTTTCCTTTTTTTCTTTTCCCTCTGTCACCTAGTTGAAAAGTTCATTTATTAGCTCCTAAATTCCTAGTCATCTTCCCTTGAATGTTTCTCAGCAATTCAGCCTGATCCTTGATGTACAGTTCTTCCCTCGATACTTTTCTGTTTATAATACAGCCTCCTTTCGTTTGGGCTTAGATGTGGAAGACTTCTCAGCCACTTGGGGTTAACCTTTAACTTAAAACCATAACCTCTCAAGCTTATTTTACCAAGGAAACTATTTGATCTAATAAGTAGATGTCTTCAGATTTATTTTAAATTTTAATAAGGCCAAGTGGTTTAGCCATTTAGAAGTTGAATTTTCTAAGGCCATATGTAAGACACCAATTGGGAAAATATCAAAGGCAAATGTGTGTTCTTGTAGTTCTTGATAAGCTTCCCCATCATAAACATATAAACAAGAAAAGTACAGAAACAGATGATCTATGATAGTAAAACCTAAGAAACAAATAAGGAAAAGGTCCTGCTTCATTAGCCATTGAAAGAAACTTAAAACTACCAAATCAGAAGATGTTTTTAGGAGATGAAAAATAAGTGATCATTAACCAGATGTCAGTGGCTCATGCCTTTGGTCTTAGATACTCAGGAGGCTGAGATTGGAGGACTGACGTTCAAAGCTTGCCTGGGTAGGAAAGTCTGACTTCAGTTTATCAGCAAAATACTGGACTGGAAGCATGGTAGAGTACTAACTGTGAGTAGAAAAAGCCAAGTAAGATGATAAGGCCCTGAATACAGGCCCTGATACCAACACACCCACCCACCCACCCACCCATCCACACACATATACAGGTCACAACTCTTTTGCCAAGCATTGCAGTGCTAGGTAACCAAAGCCATACTCCTTTTCCCAGACCACATATTTCTTTCCAACAAGACAATGCTCTAATGTTGAAACTATCAGTTTGAAAATATGTCACATTGCATTATTTAAGGTGCCTTAGAAACTTGGAACCAATCTAAGTATCCACAATGAAAGGTAATCCATGACATAGAGCACTTCTTCATATGGCCATTGAAATCTCTACAGAAAAGAAAAAGCATGAGCCTCTTTATATCAAATTGGAGAAGGAAACGGGATACCAAATTATGACATATTCCAAAATGTGAATGAGCATAACTCTTTAAACTACACAAACAAACTAAGGGAGGAAGTAGTGTTAATAATAGTATTTGCAGGTTAAAATTGATGGTTCATATTTTTATTTTTTCCTATATTTCTATATTTCCTATATTCCTATATTTTCTATATTTCTATATGTATATGAGTATACATTTATTTTATGGAAGCTCAATCCAAGATTATTCCATACACACTGTTTGCATTTATTTATAGGTGTTCATTTGATCTTAGTATGTGGGCAAGCCATGTTGATGACTTTCTCTGAATGCCCGCCATTACTATGGTCATAGACTCAGTACTGGAACATTCTCTTTTGTAACATTTCCTAAATGTTTCAAATATAGTTTATAGGAATCTGCCTTTGAGGACTCAGCACTGACTGCCCCTGAATTTCCTGGCTATATAAGAGATGCTCACATTCTTACTGGATTTATCCTTTGTGCTGTTACCTCTTCTGAATATTTTTAATCCTTCTACAAAGTGTTTGCCACGGGAGCTGATTTTCTCTTAATGTTATGTTTTAGACAATGGGCCCTGCTTGGGATACAGAAAACCAAACCAGCCATATAGATGGTTGTCCTACAAACAGGTAAGTCAGGCCAGTGATTTTAGACAGATTATTTTGCTAATATATTATCTGAGCTGATTTATGTTCTCCCCTCCTTCCCTCCCTCTCCCTCCCTCCTTCCTTCCATCTCTCCCTTCCTTCTTCCCTCCCTCCCTCCCTTCCTTCCTTCCTTCCTTCCATCCTTCCTTCCTTCCTTCCTTCTTCCCTCCCTCCCTCCCTCCCTCTCTCTCTCTCTCTCTTTCTTTCTCTCTCTCTCTCTCTCTCTCTCTCTCTCTCTCTCTCTCTCTTTCTTTCTGTCATGGGTTTGAACTCAAGGCCTGGACACTGTTCCATTTCTCAAGGCTGGCACTCTATCACTTGATCCATAGCTCTACTTCCAGCTTTTTTGGTGCTTAATTGGAGATGTGTTTCATAGAATTTCCTACTCAGGCTGGCTTTGAACTGCAATCCTCAAATCTCAGCCTCCTGAGTAGGTAGGGATTACAGGTAAGAGCCACCTAACTTGCTCTCTCCCCACCCCATCCCCTCTCTCACATAGGTATCTGATCGAGCAGAGTATCTGGGCTCCTGTCTCTTATATAAAGGATATAAACCATCACCAGACCAGTTTGTTGGCATCTTTGCTCAGAACAGACCAGAGGTAACCATGTTGAAGCTAACTAAAGAAAATGGCATCCTCTCCAGTGAATCCCCATGGCACTTGCTGATGACTTACCAAAGCTATAAAGATTTCATAATGCTTATTTCTCTACCTGTGTTAGGACTAAGAGCTACCTAAAAGTCATCTAATGTATGTGTTTGAAGTTTTATTTCTCACCCGGTGGGGATGATTTAAGTCAGCCTGATTATGATATGGGGAAAATAAGAAAATTGTGAAGGTATTCTAGATAGCGATGAGTTCATATTTGAACTGGGATTAGCTTGTTGTATACTTGAGCTGGTAAGCCATCACCCATTGCTCCTGAGTCTAGTCATCTCCCACTTTCCATAGTGACCTGAAAACAATTATTACCTGTTTAGATGATTGGAACTAACCTTATTTCCAGTAAAGTCATTAGGTCCAATATACTAAGTAGAGTTCACAGGCTACACTTTTAGGGGGGACTCTATACTCCATTTTTTGCTATATCCACTTTCCAGAAAAGATGTCCTTGACACTGGTTTAGGCATTTAACACCAAACTTTGTGTTATTGGTCTGCTAGGGTTACCATAATAAAACGCACAAGAATGTCAGTAGATTTGATGTCTCCTGAGACCTTTCTCTGTGACTTGCAGGTGGTGGTCACTTATTTGTTATGATCTCACTTGGCATCTTCTTTGTGCAGATGGTGTGTCTTCGTCTTCTCATGAAAGCACTAGGCCTACACAGCTCTACTTGTACAACCTCATTTAACAGTGCTTACCTTCCAAATGCCCTATTCTCAAATACAGTCATGTTGGGCAGAGGTGGGGTGTTTAAGGATTCAACATGTGTTTGGAGCAGAGAAGGGGAATACAGTTGAGTCTATAATACTTAAGCTGGCAATGAAGGCTCACCCCTAGCAGATTCTCCCCTCCCTTTCCAACTTTACTTCCTGTCTCTCTTCACACTCTGAGTATGTAGACACAGTGGTGCTGGTTCTCTTGTGTGTCATTTTCTTCCTTCTTCTTTAAGTGCCTTCTCTGCCCCCTCCACAACCAAGTCCTTTGAAGTTGTCCCTTTTCCTCATCTCTTCAAAGTAGCCTCAGAGAGCTTTGACACATTCTTGAAAGCGATCTTTGTCTCCTGAAGCTTCCCTAATATCTCCCACAGTTTCCTGTGGATGGAGCAGACACATTCTGCCTTTGTATGTGAGCCTGTGTTGTGACTACCTCATCTCCTCAGTGACAGTTCCTATGGCTAGCCATGCAGTGGTGTTTTAAAAAATATAATATGTACCAAATAAGCATTTGAAGCTAAATTAACACTCTTCAAAGATCATCTTCCAGGTTACTTACTTGAACTTCTCTCCCTACAGTGGGTCATCTCTGAGTTGGCTTGTTACACATACTCCATGGTAGCTGTCCCCCTGTATGACACCTTGGGAGCAGAAGCTATCATATACATTGTCAATAAGGGTAAACGTTTGCTATGACTTTACAACTTGATTCTGTCTTAATGCAGAGTAATGTTTGTTTAAGCAGATTTGAAATGCTTTTAGCCAGAAAAAAATGCTTTGGTCTTTCCTATCCTATACTTCTTAGGAAATAATTTACAGGGAAATTACAAAGAAATAAAAGGCCCTGGAGGCAAAGATATTCTTAGATTAGTATTTCCACAAATAGTTCAAGGTAAGGTGGTCTAGAACTGTATCTTAGAGTCAAGACTGTTTAAGTATACTGGATAAAACTCTAAAGAGTGAGCTTAACTGGCTAAATAACTACATAATTAATTTCCTAGCCTTATAGATTAGGTCACTTTGGCAGCACATACACTAAACTCCAGTCATTACAATTACATAACATGCATCTATATTCATGGTGATTTCATAGGAAAAGAAATGACATTGTTAGAAAAACATAACCAAGAACAGTGGGGCAAGTAATAGCCCACTGATATCCAAGATGTTGGTTTTTGTTACTGAAATAGTAGATTGAGTACACTCATTGGAAAGGTAGACACCGTATTATGCAAACAGTGGCATACAAAATGCTAAGATTTGGAATCAGAAATGTCTTCTCCTTCCTCTTTGAGTCTCTCCTCCCCTCCTCAAAATAAAACATGTCAACGGAATCACATCTCAGTGGTTCATGCAAACTTTCTAGATGACTTATCAAACAGGAGGAATTCCATGGCTGTTCTAGATACTGTAAAATGTGTTGGTAGCAGGCAGAACTATGCATTTCCATTTGAATTAAGTTCAGTTAGCACCAATGGAATGTTCAGGTTGTTCGCTATAAATCCGATTTGTACATATAATCTCCTTTGGTGTCTCAATAGCACTGAAAAATGTTAATTTCTCCTCATTGAAAAGCAATGAGGTCTTTCACAGAGCAGGACGGTGATCTCTCCCTGTTTCTGCTTTCAGCTGATATCCCTACTGTCATCTGTGATACACCCCAGAAGGCGTTGGGGCTGATAGAGAATGTGGAAAAGGGCCATACCCCAGGCCTGAAGATGATCATCCTCATGGACCCCTTTGATGATGATCTGAAAGAGAGAGGAGAGAAATGTGGAGTTGAGGTCTTATCCATGTCTGATGCTGAGGTATGAGCCTGAAACTCAGCCTTGGAAATGGACAATGGTCCAACACCAAGAACAAGTTTCAGGATATTTGCACAAAAGCACCGAGCTCTTGTCAATAGCGGCGTGCAAGGAGTAAATCAGACTCATATTAAGAAACTTGGAGAAAGATTTATTTGGGGGCAAATCGAAGGTTTATGCCAGATGCCGAGTGACTGGTAGCTCACATCTGTGATCCTAGCTAATCAGGAGGCTGAGATTTGAGAATGAGAGTTCAAAACCAGCCTAGGTAGAAAAGTTCATGAGATTTTACTTGCAATTAACAACAACAAAAAAAAACCCAACAATAACAACCCTAGAAGTATTCAAGCCCCACTACTGTCACACACACATTCACATGCGCGCGTGCACACGTGCCCCTCCCCCACATACACACAATCATGCTAGAGATGGAGAAAGTTTTGTGGGCAACAGTATACACTTCTGAGAATTATGAACAGAGAGTTTTGTAATTATTAATGATATACTTCCTGGAGCCAAGCTGCCTGAGATTATATGCTACTCCCACATCTATTACTTACGTGGCATTGTGTTGTGACTTCACATTGCTATTTCCCCATTCATAAGATAGTAATAAAGATAGTCTCCATCTCACAGATGCATTGGGAAGCTTTAAATCACCTAGTGTATGTAAATTGCCCAAGCAAATGATTGATAACTTGTAGACCCTGAAATGTTAACTGTTCATATTATTCAAAGAAGGATTAGTTATGGTTCTAGATGATTTGATATTTAAAAAGACCATGGGAAGCATAAAAATTTAGGGTCTGCCTTCTTTAGGCTGTTCTAGAGGAATATAAAGTTTCTCTGGGAGTGGGGATCTCTATTATACCTCCATATTGGCTTCTGGGCCTGTTCCAGGTTGAAATTTTGGTATTTCCTTAACGAATGTCTTTCTTTCTTTGTTTCTTCTTCATGTAGAATCTAGGCAAAGAAAACTTCAGAAAACCCGTGGTAAGTTTTTCTCTTCCTGAATTGTGAGTTTTGTCCACTCTCAAAGGAGATGGTAGTCTAAGACCTTGTACTTCTCTCTCCAGCCTCCAAACCCAGAAGATACAAGCATCATCTGTTTTACCAGTGGAACCACAGGTCAGTGTCCATGAGGCCCTGCCAGAGCCCCCTGAATTGTGAGCCTTGAGTACCTGGATACTGGCACACTGATGCACATGTCCTGCCATCGGCCCTCTCCTTGGGTCTTCATCCTAAAGATTCCCAATAGAAAAACACAAACATGGGCTGGAATGTGGCTGAGTGCTTGCCTAGCATGCATGCAGCCCTGGGTTTGATTCCTCAGTGTCACATAATCAGGAAAGGCCAGAAATGGCATGGTGGCTTAAGTGGTAGAGTGCTAGGCTAGAGCAAAAGAAGCTCAGGGACAGTGCCTAGACCCCGAGTTCAAGCCCCAGGACTGGCAAAAGCAAAAAGAAAAACAAAAAACACAAGCATAAGTAAATAACCTTTATTCAATACACAAGGAGGTATTTACATACTAATGAATTTCAGGGATTTTAAAGACAACATCAGAAAGTTGCTCTTTTTCTCCACCTAAAACTCTAAGCAATTCAACCCCATTGAGATGATTTCTTCCAACCAGAGTATCAGCATAACCTAAAGATGTTTCTCCACAGATGTTTGTACATTCTCATAGGAGATGATTATGTTCATCTCATAGGAGACTTCATCCCTTTTAATATGGTACATGATAATACACTTACAGTCATTCTAGTATGCCTGGTTTTTAAGAGTTATAACAATATTACTAGGTAATAGTATTCCATCTAAGTGGCACAAGAAAATAGCAACATATGAGTAGCAACATTGATTGTGTTGCTATCTGAGCTTGGGGCAGTGCGCTGAGTGGTATTGAGTAGTAATGGTGCATTGAGTAGTAGAATCCTTGGGGGCATTAATCATTCCTAAACAGAGACATATGCATCCACAAAAAGACATGGTGGCATACAAAACTCTTAACTGTCTAAACAGAACTAACTGAATCTAGCTTCTTTTTAATTTGTTGCTGGCACTGAGACTTGAACTCAGAGCCTTTCTGTTTTGCTCGACTTTTTCCACTCAAGGCTGATACTCTACCATTTAAACCACACTTCCACTTCCAGGTTAATTTGCTGGTTAATTGGAGATAAGAGTCTCTTGGATTATCTGCCTACGCTAGCCTTGAACCTCAATCCCCAGATCTGAGCCTCCTGAATAGCTAGGATTACATGCAGGAGCCACTGGTGCCTGGCTGAATCTAGCTTCTTCAATTTCAAGGCCAAAAGCTACAATTAATCACATAAAAGATTTTTCTCTCTACATCTTGTTTCCTACAGGTAACCCCAAAGGAGCTATCCTAACTCATCAAAATATTGCTTCAAACACTGCCGGTTTTCTCAAATGTCTGGAGGTCAGTGGTCAATTGAAAAATAGACACTGGTTAAAAATGTAAATCAGAGGGCTGGGATGGTGGCTCAGTGGTAGAGTGCTTGTCTCACATGCATGAGGCCATGGGTTCAATTCCTCAATACCAACAGAAAAAAGCAGGAAGTGGCACTATGGCTCAAGAGGTAGGGCTCTAGCCTTGAGGTGAAGAGCTGAGGGACAGTGCCCAGGCCCAGAGTTCAGCCCCCACAACCGACAAAAAAAAATCAGATATAAGATTTAAAGTTCCTAAAGTTAGAAGAGGCAGAGAAGAGAAAGAAAAACAAGCTAAAGGCCTAAGTTGTAAGGGTGGGCAAACCCTGTTTTAGTCTTATTGGCAGAACTGTACATTTAAGCCTCACTCTTCTAGGATTACTGCAAATCTCAACACTCTGCCTAGTTCAAAGCAGTGCCTAAGAGTTATCTAGTATATGGTACACTGTGGGAGCCCTAAGCCTGGGTAGTTTTTAGATCTCCATAAGAGAGAGTTGGTATTAATCCATCATTATCTCCTCTTTGTTTTCTGATCCATAGCATGTTTTCCAGCCTACTCCTGATGATGTGACCATATCCTACCTCCCCTTGGCTCATATGTTTGAGAGGATTGTACAGGTGAATATCCTGTGTTTCTAGCATGTGTGTAAAAAGGGGGATTCTAGCTTGATAGTCCCTCTTTTATTCCGAAATCATCAACACAGCCTTTCTAGCCCTTTCTCTACTATGTCAAGGCATAGGCAGGAGGTTGGCTCATGGGAATCCACATCCTGGCAGCCCCCCCCCCACCCTGCTCCCTCCCTCAACTTGCTGCAGAGCCTTCCCCTGCTGAGTTTGCATCCTAAGGTAGTGGATGTTCATGAGTTCAGTAAGAGCTTGCCATCTATCCACACTTGGTCCTGAGATGATTCAGAGACATTGCGTCTTTCTTTATCTTTTCTGTTGGTTAGAATATTTGAAAAGATTTGCAGTAAGAGGAAAGAAAGCTCCTACAGAGAGCCAAGGAAAGAACATTTGGTCCTGGTAAGGGATTAGGCATCCCCAATGTTTTAGGTGTCTGACCAGCATGGTATGTACCCAAGGAGTGTTATCCTTCTGTATTCCAGGTTTTCAGCTAAGTGATTCTGAGGTTGACTTGAGAATAAAATGTAGCACTGGTCTTTGAAAAACATAGAGAGTATTGTGGGAAAGTCTTCTATACTCCTCTCAAATACCTAAAATGCTAAAATGGGCCAGGCACTGGTGACTCATACCTGTACTCCAGCTATTCAGGTGGCTGAGACCTGAGGATCCATGTTGGAAGCTAGCCTAGGCAGGAAAGTCTGAGAGACTCCTATTTCCAATTACCAGCAAAAAGTCAGAAGTGGAATTGTAGCTCAAGGGGTAGAATGCTATCCTTGAGCAAAAACTCTAAGGGACAGAACCCAGGCCCTGAGTTCAAGTCCCTGGTGATAGATAGATAGATAGATAGATAGATAGATAGATAGATAGATAGATAGATAGATAGATAGATAGATAAACAAAGTATAATGTTTAGTTGGTTAGACTAAAGTGTTGCTATGTGATAAATAAAAATTGATTGTAATAAGCTTTTAAAAATGTTTTAACATGGAAGTGGAGTGTGGTTCAAGTGGTAGAGTGTTAATCTTGAGCAAAAAAGTTCAGGGACAGCCCCCAACCCCAAGTTCAAGGCCCATGACCAGCAAAAAAAAAAGTTTAACCATTTCTGAAATTTGCACAGTTTCATACTCGAAGACTGCCCCCACTTTAATTTGGAGCTCTCAGCTCTTACTGCCTTATAGTCAATAGTGTTTAATAATAGTGTTTAATAGTGTCACGCAGCTCTGATGGGGTTGGAAGGTGGGGCCCGCAATCTCATCTGTCTTATCTGTCTTGACACCTTGAGGAAAATGCGTTTCTATCTTTTCTTGAGGGCTCCTGAGGACCTAAATGGGAGGACTCTGTACAGAATAAAGGGTCATGGACCTCATCTTATTTCCTCAGTTCTACTGAGAATTCAGGCCTCCTCTACAGCGATTCCTCAAGTGCCAACCCCCCCCTGTTCCATGTTGTTTCAGGCTGTCGTGTATTCCTGTGGAGCCAGAGTTGGGTTCTTTCAAGGAGATATCCGGTTGCTGCCTGATGATATGAAAGCCCTCAAACCCACAGTGTTTCCCACAGTACCTCGACTCCTTAATAGGGTCTATGATAAGGTACCAACTTGGCTTCTAGTGGGCTTGCCTGGAGGAGGGGACCATCTGTGATATAGACTTGTGCTAAGACATTGAAGGATGCCATTTTTGCTAAGAAATTAGCTCTACCTCCAGCCCCCATGAATATCTGAATAAAGCCACATTTCAACTGCTTCTGTGAAAAACCATAGTAAAACAAAACCCCCTTTGCTCTGGATAAGATTTCTGAGCTAAGGAAGAGTTCAACTTTGAGACCTCATGAGTCCCTGATGAACTTACTTGGAAGTTGTTCCTCTGATTTATATGTAGGTAATCAGCCTTCTTGCTGAGTTACCAGGACCCATGGTAAACATTTCAGACATGTTCTCCCAACCAATCCTCCCAAAACATACTTGACTCTTACCATTGTAATGATGAGGAAATTGAGACTGCAGTTAAAGAACTTGCCCAGAATTCAATCAAATAAGGAAAAAAGGCTTAGTAGTTTTAGCTGTCATTGATCACGAACATTGGGGTTTGCAAATGGTGATTTAAATAGATTCTAGAGATGCCATTTTTCTACTATTCCTTAGCTGAGAATCTACCATAAAGGTAGAATCCCTTCATTTGTCAATCTTGAGAAAAATGAATTGGTGTCCCAAAAATCTTCAAATATGTCCAGTGAGAATTCAATGTATATATGTGCATATTGTGGGTGTGGATTGTTATGAACTCATGGTTCTGCGTCCTGTGTGTTAAACCCATTTTAATCACACGTGATATTCAGATTGTCCCGACTTAGAAGTGGGGAGCTCCCATCAAGTTGCTTATGTGTTCTTTTGACATGACCCCAATAGCCTTTGATAGTGCCCTTGGTTTCTGGCAACAAGATATCCTATGTTCATCTTATATTACAGACATGAGAGGATGCCTACAGCTAACAGGATAATTTGCCTTAGAAGGTGAAAATGGACAGCCCTAGTTTTCTGGAGGTGCAGAAGTAGAAGCACAAATGTAGAAGATGGCCAGAGAGGCACTCTCAAAATTTGAACTAGAAAGAATTTTGATTTTCGTGGATTTTGTTTCTCATATAATGAGATCTGAAGGCTAGAATTTGAAATTCATGCTTTAATTTTTGGGATGAAAGAGTTCCTTTGAGCTGTCCTTAGGCAGGACTATGATTAATAGATTGTGGAGTTGCAGTCATACCAAGGTCAAGAAAGCCCAGGAAAATAAGGTGAACTGGGAAATGATGTTAATTGGTTAAGCCAAAAGGAAAGAAAATGATCTAAGTAGGGAAGTATGTTGGGTTTTTTGTGATGTGACTAAAGGACTTTTATTATTATAGAGAAAGGTGATAATAGTGGATATAAAAATAACTTAAGAGTAAGGGGAAAGAGGCAAAATTTCCTTTTGAGAAGTCAAATTCCTTAGCTCTACTTTCTCATACTACATAAAAAAAAACCCAAGTGGAGCTACATACTGTTATAAATCTTATGGGTTGTTTTTTTTTCCACCACTCTTTGCTTAATTTAGTTTTCAAGGACCAGAAACATGGGAGGATTGGAGCTTCAGTGTACATGTGTATTACTTTTTAAGTGTAAACCTAGTTCTCTGTATTCATTGTTATTCAACAACCCACTTAATGATCTGGAGATGTTCCCTTATGAAATCAGACTGCACCATCTCTTGCTTACCAATGAATGATCTTGATAAGCATCTTTTTAAGTTAATGACCTTAAGAAGTATCTTCTATAGGTTTCCAGCTAAGAGGTGCTATCATCTTACAGGTACAAAATGAAGCCAAAACACCCTTGAGTAAGTTCATGTTGAACCTGGCAATTACTAGTAAATACAGTGATGTAAAAAACGGTATCATCAGACGTGACAGTTTGTGGGACAAGTTTATTTTTTCAAAGATCCAGGTAAGTTGGTCGGGTCCTGAAAATCAAATGCTAGAGCTGCCCTCTACTCACACTCCGCTCTTCTTCCAGTGCTACAGCATCATCCTAACTGAAGGTCCTCTTGAACTCTGAGTGTCCACTTGCTTTCTGAGAGTCCCCTGTACAACTTTATTATGAAAGCAAATTGGCTAAAAAAGCATGGTGGCTCATGCTTATAATCCTAGCTACTCAGGAGGCTACCATCTGAGGATTATGGTTTGAAGCCAGCCAGGACTGAAAAGTCCATGAGACTCTTATCTCCAATTAAATACCAAAAAACTGGAAGTCGAGCTATAGCTCAAGTGGTAGAATATCAGCTTTGAGTAAAAAAAGCTAAGGGAATAGGACCCAGGCCCTGAGTTCAAGCTTCAGTTTATCCTCCTCTGCCATACACATACAAAAAGCATAAAGCATATTTGATGTAGATACTAGCATATTCTATCATTACATGATCTGCTGTGATTATAAGCGATATAAATAAAGTATTTAACAAATGCAGGTTCTGAGGGCTACAGTCATGACTTAAGTGATAGAGCACTTGCCTAGTAAGCACAAAGCCTGGAGCAAGTTATGATCCCAGCTGTAGATGGTGATGACGATTGAACACCTTAAGTGCATTTCCACAACACTGGGCACTATTAAAAGTATTTGTAAATTAACTGATTAAATTGGTATAAAACCACATTGGGTAGCGATTATACTCACTTGAGGCTGGCAGAAGCTGAAGCCCAGAGATAAAGTCACAGCCAGTCTTTTGTGTTCACTGCGCAGGACAGCTTGGGTGGGAATGTTCGCATCATGATCACTGGAGCCGCCCCCATCTCCACTCAGGTCCTCACATTCCTCCGGGCAGCCTTAGGATGTTGGGTAAGAATTTGCTTTTTCAAAATATAGTATTGATGATCTGAATAAAAATGGAAGTGCAACTGAAAAAAACAAACCTGAAATGTACCAATGAGAAAGTCACCCAAGCCTCAAAACCAAGAGGAAATACCCTAGCAGCACCTCTTAGTGTATCTGTGTAGAGAAATCTTAGCATAAATGCAACCAGTGTGCTGAAATATGAATGTAATACTAATGGAATAGTTCCCCTCCAACATCAATCCTTCTTGAAGGATGGCTTCACAGCAGTCTGTCAAGTGTAGACAAGTCATCTACTATTGATAGACACCATTTTCCCACTATTTTAACTGATCAAATGATAAGGACACTTTTGCACCCCTGGGTATTTTTGCAGTTATCAATTTAGAATAAGCCCATTGAAGTAGTGTCAAAGAGCATGTTTGTGTTTCTGTGTATATATGTGAACATACATATACATATATTACATGTAAATGTATATTATCAAACAGTCTTCCATAAAGATCTTGTCTTTTCTATACACTCCTGGAAACAATACAGGAAGCTTCCTTTGCCCATGCTCTTTCTCCTGACATGCCTTGTCAGTTCTATAAACCTTAGTCATTTGCCTCTACGTTCAAAACCTTATTGCAGTGTTGTTTCTTTTATCAATACCAAACAGCTTTCCAACTTGATATCTGTATTTCTTCCATGAATTACTTCCTTACAGCAGAACTAAAGCATGATTTAGTCCTCTTCCATATTACTTTCTAAGAGTTCTTCATGTAGTAATAGAAGATCAATCTCAGTTATGCATTTTTTCTGGTCTCATCTTTTCTGCTTTGGTTTCCTTCTTGCCTTGTATATAACTTATACAAAACTTTCAAACGTTTGTGTGGTTATATTGATTGATGTTTTCTATCTGTGCTTTCCAAATTGGTTTTAAATTGAACTAGGGTTTCAAAAAACTAAACAGGGTTTTCTAATCTCTAATACTTCATACTATTTGTTTTTACCATATTTTCTGGTGATCTGATAGTCTTACCCTTTAAAAAATATTGTCTCCACTACACCTGCAATAAATCTAGGGTCTGGACACAAATATTGTCTAATTTTTCTCCCTCCCAAATGGATAACTAGTTTACTCATTTAACTTTGCATGACATGAACAAGTAGAAAACAGGCACAGGATTATACTCTCCAAGAAATACATACTGCCAATTATAAACCCCCAACTGAGTAAAGATTCTGAATGATACCAGAGACATCGGCAAAATTCCTCTGGGTTTTCAAACTACCATCACTTGGCCATTCTGTTCTTCTTCAAAAATTTTCTTTCTTTAGTTCCAAAGAACAATAGGAGATAAACTCTTCCTCCAATCCTGCTCCTGGAAATGTCTTCTCTAAGTCTTTCTCTTTATCTCTGCTAACGACAGGCCACACCTACCGCTGCAGTAGCCTATCAGTTTGCTTGAACTTAGGGAACTTAAATGTGGGAACTTTAACTGCCATCAGCCTCTCTAAAATCGATATTATCTTTCATATCAGGGGTTTTCAAGTTACAGGGCAGACCCAGTCTGGCCCACCATCTGTTTTATACATGAAACGGCTTTGGAACACAGCCATAGCCATTCATGTAATATATGATCTGTGGTTGCTTTAGGAGATACATTGGCAGAGTGAATTTGTTGAGACAGAGAAATATTTATTGTCTTAATCTATGCAAAAAAGTTTGCCAACTCCAGTACTTTATCAAAACTAGAGCTATTTTCCTTTTTTAAAAAATGCTGCTCTATGTCTTTAGTTCTTTCAGAGGTGCTGCAGGTTCAAATCAATTGCCGCTGGATTGCGTATCACTTTGTAAATAATTTGCATTTTTCTTACCTTCTTGAAATGCTATACTTTTCATTTGGGTAAAAATCCAAACACTTTAACATATTTCTGAGAGCTCTTAGTTTTTGAATGAGCACTTAGTTTTAAAGACTTAGGAACTGGGATATGAATTCAATATTTTAAGAAACTAATTGTTCTCCAATGCTTGGAGACCCTATTTGCCTCATGTCTTGGCCATAAGCCAGGCAGTTTCAAGTTGAGTTAGTCCTAAAGCCTTTCTTTGTCTTCCCAGGTATTTGAAGCTTATGGACAAACAGAATGTACTGCTGGCTGTACAATTACATCACCTGGGGACTGGACAACAGGTAAGACCTCCATCTGTCAGGCAGTGTGTGTAAGGAGTTATGAGAAGTTCGTTTCTAACTGAACTAGTATTTAAGTTTCAATCATTACAGATAAATGAGGTTAGATACTCCAATGAATGAGACAGGTGCCAAACTCAAATTTTGGATCCCAGCTTGCTTATCCCAAACATCTACCAAAGATATCTGGGTTTCGTTGTTGTGGTTGTTTTGTCAGTCATGGGGCCTGAACTCTAGGCCTGGGTGCTGTCCCTCAGCTCTTCAGCTCAAGGCTAGCGCTCTACCACTTGAAACACGGCACCACTTCCGGCTTTTTTATTTTTGCTTACGTGGTGCTGAGGAATCGAACCCGTGGCCTCATGCATGTGAGGCAAGTGCTCTACCACTGAGCCACCTTCCCAGCCCCTTTAGTCCTATTTTTAAGAGTCTCAGTCTTATTTTTTATCTATCTCCTAAATCTGTCCAGAATAACTACTATTATTAGAACTTCAGAGTGTCTGAGCTGATGCATGGTCTATTTTAGGTCATGTTGGAGTCCCTGTGTCTTGTAACTATGTGAAGCTGGAAGATGTGGCTGACATGAATTACTTTTCAGTAAACAACGAAGGAGAGGTGGGTAAACTATGGCCTGTAGTCAGATCATCATGGAGGTGAAGAGGTGTAGAGCTCACAGTTGTGAGCTTGTGTGGTTTTTACTCTTTTGTTATCTTTAGCAAGGAACTAAATATTTCTGAGTCTCATTTTCCTTTCCTGTAGTGGGGACTAAAATATAGCACTCTTCGTGCTGTAGCAGGACCCATCAAGTGACCTAAGTGGGAGGGCATGTGTTGCAAGGTGTCCATGGTTTGGAAGTAGCACCCTTGCTCTTGTCACCACCTTGTACTGTCTGGTGTACAGGTCTGCATCAAGGGCACCAATGTCTTCCAAGGATACCTAAAAGACCCTGAGAAAACACAGGAAGCTCTGGACAAGGATGGCTGGCTTCACACTGGAGATATTGGTCGCTGGCTTCCAGTGAGTATTTCCTTATAATTTCCAGTAGTCTATGCTACTTGTTCGACTTTACTAGACTTTGCCAGAAAACCACGCAGACATCCAGGCACAAAGAACAGAGAAAAGTTTGTTATCAGCAAAGGGACTTGCAAGACCCCTTCTCACAAGAGAGAAGTAGTGCCGGCTATCTGCAGTGACCTATATAACCTGTGAGGCTAAGGGGTGGAGACCCTGGTGTGGATTGTGTGGACCAGGGGCTTCCTCATATGATGGGCTAGGATTTATGGCTGCTGCCCAAGTGGCAGATAAGGGGTCTTGCAGCTGCTAGACCTGAAGGTTACTCTAAGGGGTTCTTGCTGCCAAAGGTGTGCCAAAGGTAAAGGGGGGCGGGCGGAGGCTGATTATTTACTGCTTTTACTAAATGGGCCTAGAGTTGCCTAGGAAAAGAGCATGCTAAGCTATGGGAGAGGAGGCTACTGGGCCAACACTACTGGGCTGGAGAGACTAAATCTGCCTATGGCTAGTGGGATAGATTTGCCAGTGGGTTAATCAGCTGAAAAAGATGGAGGAGAATGGGTCTGTATCTTCTTTTAACCATAAAGAGAAAGAAGTAGCAAGTGGTAAAGCCCAGGCTGGGAGTTGGGAGGTTCATACTCTAGTTCAGCACTTCCAGAGGCCAACAATGTGAAAGTAGGCTAATATGTGACCAAGAGTTGCCAAAGTTAGTGTCTTTCTTCCTCTTAGCCACAGTGTCTTTACTGTTGGACCACATGTGGGAGAGAGAGACTAAATAGAAGCTTTTCTTCATTTCTTATCAAATACAATGTCTGCATTAGCCCGTGGTACCAGCATTGCTTCCAAACACAATCTGAAGGGAGGATTCTTTATTGGTCAGATAGTTCTAGATGTCAGAATTTTTATGGCTCCCATGTAATGGAAAGAATTTGCTAATAGCCAAGAGAAAATTAGGTGGTGTCTCCAGAAAAAGGGTAGTAACAGGACTGTATATTCTGTCCTTTCCTTTTTCCTTTGATTTTTTTTTTTCTTTTCGCAGTACTGGTGTTTGAACATGTCTTCATACTTGCTGGGAAGGCCCTCTACCACTTGAACCATACCTCCAAGCCCATTTTGCTCTGCTTATTTTTGAAATAGGCTCTTGCTTTTTGTATGGGCTGACCTAGATTGCTATCCTATTTACACTTCCTATGCTAGGCACATGCTACCACACCCAGACTTTTTTGTTGAAATGGGGTCTTGGGAACTTTTTTATTTGTCAGTCCTGGGGCTTGAACCCCAGGGCCTAAGCACTATCCCTGAGCTTCTTTTGCTCAAGGCTAGCACTCTACCATTTGAGCCACAGTTTGCCACTTCCAGCTTTTTCGGTGGTACTGAGGAATCGAACCCAGGGCATCATGCATGCTAGGCAACCACTCTACCAGTAAGCCACATTCCCAGCCTTGGGAACTCTGTGTGTGTGTGTTATGGTGTGTGCTGGTCCTGTGGCTTGAACTCAAGGTCTGAGCACTATCCCTGAGCTTTTACACTCAACCTACCACTTTACCACTTGAGCCACAGCTCTACTTCTGGCTTTTTGGTGGTTTATTAGAGGTAAGAGACTCCTGCCCAGGCTGTAAACTATGATCCTCAGATCTCAGCCTCCTGAGTAGTTAGGATTGCAGGCATGACTCATGAATACCTAGATTGGGAACTTTTTAAATTTTTAACCAGGGTTACCGTGAAGCTGTCATCTTCCAGAGCTTAGCCTCCTGTATAGCTGGGATGAAAAGCATATGTCACCATACCCACCTAAACTTCGTGATCATTTCCTATCATGATCCTTCTGATTTCCATCTCCAAATAGCTAAGATTACAGGTGTGAGCTGCAACTAGTGCTCCATTTCTTTTCACTTTTCTTGAGATCGAAATTGTGGTTTGATAACTCTATGCATCCACAACTTCTCTCTTTTGAGAGTTTCAAAGGGAGGTGTCTTTTCCCATTTAATTCATAAGGCATACCATAACCTGAAAGTCGGATTTCCAAACCAGGCATTTGCAGAGGCTACTGGTTGTCTCTCAGTGACCTTTGCAGCCTCTTGCTAAGGAAAACAAAGAGACTGTTTTTTTCTTTTTGAAGATGAGGTCTCGTTGTATAGCCCTTGCTGACTTTTCAGTCTGGAACTCGCAGTACTCTTGCCTCTGGACACCCAAATGCTGGGATTACAAGTGTATGGCACCACCACCAGACGTGAGGCCTTTGTGTAGCTTCACTTTCTAATAGTAACAGTAGCTGCTGTCCATCCCATCTGTTTTCCTAAGATAGGGAATTGCACCGCAATAGTTTGGAACCTTCAAAGCCTCATAGGGGATTTTTTTCCAAAGGAGTATCTTTCTCCAGAGTTCTCTTTGTCTGATATGTGCTGAGGAGCTAGAGGAACATAGGGAATGTAACTAGATCCCAAAATTCCTTTATTGCTCAGCATTCAAGATTTAACTATATAATTCAAAGAATGATTGATAACGAGGCCTCTAAGAACACAGTCCTAATGATATAATTCCTAGAGATGTGTCTCATAGTACTGTGCTAGCATGTTGCCGTTTAAGAAGAGTGCTGCATTTGAGTCAGCCTAGATGTAGACAAAACAGATATGTCTCCTCTCCTAGGTTATAAAAGGCCATTCCTTATTAACCATTTTCATCATGCCATGCTAAATTGATGAGTAAGCTGAATTGATGGTTCCAGGGTTGGTTCACACTGTGATCTTACTTAGAGTATGATTATGTGGATTGTATTTGCACTTGTCCCAGTTCTGCAATTCAAATCCCTAAGAACATAAGCTCCTTAAAGAAACTAAGCTCAAAGAAATAAAGCTGCAGAGACCTCTGGTGGTTGGCTGGGCAGAAGGCCTTCCCTCCCCAGCTCTGCTTACGGTCTAACTAACCCAACTACTGACTATCTGATTAGTACATGGGAGATGGAAATAACAGGAAATACACAGGAAGCAGAGCTAACTAATTCAAGTCTTAATTAAAGATAACCCCCTTTTTATTCCTGAGAGTTCTGGAGCTAGAGTAATTGGAAACTGAGAGGTGAATATTCTCTTTTCTGAATTGACAGTTCTGGGGCTTGACTTGTAGACTTGTACTTGCTAGGTAAGTGCTGTACCACTTGAGCTACACTCACAGCCTGTTTTTGCCTCAGTAATTTTTGATACACAGTCTTGTGTTTTTTCCAGGCTGTCCTTAGATCGTATTCTTCCTACATTGTCTTCCATGTAGCAGGGGACCAGCATGTACCACCATGGCTAGCTTGCTGGTGGAGGTGGAGGCTTGCTTACTTTTTGTTTAGTGTGCCATTGCACTCAGCCTGGAAAATTTCTTCATTGGAGGAAGGAACTATCCATATAACACAAGCTGATCCTGAAGACTTTTTCTGAGGCTCTGGGAAGGTGGGTCAGTGGTACAGTGCTTGCCTTGCATGCATAAGGCCCTGGGTTTGATTCCTCGGCACCACATAAGCAGAAAAAGCTGGAAATGATTCTGTGGCTCAAGTGGTAGAGTGCTAGCCTTAAGCTGAAGAGCTGAGGGACAGTGCCCAGGCCCAGAATTCAGGCCACACACTGACCGCCCCCCCCCCCCCCAAAAAAAAGGATAAAAGTGTGGCTTCTCCGTTTTCCCTATTAACACAGGTCTTAATGCTAAAAACAAAACCTAAAACAAAAAACTAATGTTTTTTCTACATTCTGCAGAATGGAACTCTGAAGATCATTGACCGAAAAAAGAACATTTTCAAGCTGGCACAAGGAGAATACATTGCTCCCGAGAAGATAGAAAATATCTACATCAGAAGTAGACTGGTGTTACAAGTTTTTGTACATGGGGACAGCTTACGGGTAATAAGCTATTTTAATAAGAGCCACCATTAGGTGCAGGTCACTGTGGTTCTATGTAGCGGCCAGAAATTTATCTAGGTATATCCAGAGTTCTAGCTTATAGAACTAAAGAAATGAAGCTATGTTCCATATCATAAATAAGGCAACGTTGATTACAAACAAAACCTTCTTAAAGTTGGGCACTGGCAACTCAGGCTGAGATCGAAGATCATGGATCTGAAACAAGCTCAGGCAGGAACATCTATGAGACTCTTATCTCTAATTGAACACCAAAAATCAGGAAGTGGTACTGTGGTTCAAGTGGGAAATCACCCAAACCCTGAGTTCAAGCCTCAGGCCTGGCACAAAACAGATAAACAACAACAAAAAAAAAAACAACTTTTTTTCCCACTATGATGGATTTTGTAAACAAGTCAGTAGAATTACTGAAAATGATTTGGAAAAATAGCGTTTCCCACATTGTGCTTACTTTCTGTTCTGGTTGAAGCTTCTCTGGCATGACAGGGCATCTCATATATATATATATATATATATATATATATATATATATATTTGAATATTATATATAATACACACACACACACATACACACTTAAATTCGGCTCTTTGGAGGAAGGGCATAAGGAAAACTGTGGGCATGAACAGGCCAGAGATTCTTCTAAATTTTTGTGGCTACCACCTCTTTCTGAAAAGTCAAATTTGGCCAGAATGTTTCTGTTATGAGATGTTGAATGGAGTAATCTATCAGTGAGAAAGAAAGCAGGACCCTTGTATAGATTTGACGTTGGGAGGTCTTTTAATTTATTTTTTAATCACCATGAGCTAGTCCTTCTTTTTACCCTTGGGGGCAGAGGAGTGCCGTATGCTAGGCCTCTCATACCCTTGGTTTCTTTTTCAGTCATCCTTGGTAGGAGTGGTAGTTCCTGACTCCGAAGTGCTCCCCTCATTTGCTGCCAAACTCGGGATTAAGGGATCCTTTGAAGTCTTGTGTGAAAATGAAGTAAGTATTCCTCAGGAAAACTCAGTGTGCACTCATGGTCCATGTGGCAAAGAGGAGGCACTACCAGTTGGGGCATCCCTGGGTGCCCAGGGCCTCTTCTCTGAAGAAATGATCTCTTCCTATTTCTGTGAAATGTAGCTACAGTCCCAATAGACTTAATAATTTTATTAGATCGTAGGATAGAATGGATCATTTAAAACACAAAGCTGAGCCAGTGGCTCATGCCTGTAATCCTAGCTACTCAGAAGGCTAAGAGAGGATCGTGGGAAGTCTGTGAGACTCTTATCTCCAATAAACCACCAGAAAACCTGAAGTGGCACTGTGGCTCAAGTGGTAGAGAACTAGACTTGAGCTAAAGAGCTCAGGGATAGAGCCCAGGCTCTGAGTTCAAACCCACGACAAAAAAAAAAAAAAAACCCTCAAAATAATAAACACATATGTCAATAAGTAAAATCATCTAGAGAAAAGTCACTATTAATGCTTTGTAGATACTTTTATATACTGCTTTTATCCTAACCCATTGTTACAGGCATTTGGAGTGGGTTCACATTTAGCTGTTCATTTTCAGTCATGCTTTAAGCAATGTTCTGTATTCCTAGACTATCCAGGGAGCCATTTTACAAGACTTGCAGAAAGTTGGGAAAGAAGGTGGTCTAAAGTCCTTTGAACAGGTATGTTCCACTGATTTTACTCAAGTCTCTTGAGTCACCCTCAAAGTTTTATTTAAAGTTCCAACTTACCATGGGTGTAAACATACATTTCCAAAGAATTGATTTGAGAATTTATGCCTTTAACTGGCAATGACCACGTCCTTTGGTAATTAATTTGTAATGTCCCTTTTCCATTCTCCCTCCTCATTTCTTTCTCTAATCACAAACATGTTAAGAATGGCCACGGGTTACTAGATCTGTACCTGTCTACTTCATTAAACTCTTTTATAAGATGAAACATGCTTTCAAGTCCTTCATCGAGCACTCTGAGGGCTGTGCAGAAGAGTATGCAGCACTAATAAACCGTATGTGTGTTCACTTCATCTTCTAGGTCAAGAGCATCTTTATTCATCCAGAGCCATTTTCCATTGAAAATGGGCTCTTGACACCAACACTAAAAGCAAAACGAGTAGAGCTCTGCAAATTCTTCCGGACCCAAATCAGCAGCCTGTATGAGAGTATCCAGGAGTAGGTTAAGGTATTTATGGCTGAACTGGCTGCCTGGTCTGTGCTGCTGTGTGAGCATATAGATTAAAAACTATTCTTCCATTTGTGTTGTGTTTCTTCCTCTCTGTTGTTTTACTTACTGCATGATCAAACTACCATCTGAAAAAAAATACCATCAGAGATTTATAAGCAGGAAATTTAGCCTGGATAGAAGTCTTGCTTTTCTCATCTTAGTCGTGGCTAATTTAGCTATATATTTACTTTTTTTTCATGGTCCCACTTTGTGTTTTGACTCTTCTGCAAGCTCTCCAACTTCAGTGCCATTTTAAATCAGAGATCACAAGATCAAATATCCTAGGGATCCTTTGTGAGGCTCTTTCTTGCTTTATAGCAAATATATAAACCAAGACTTAATATAGGCTCACTAACATTCACAGTAAGAAATCCTTAATTGTCCTTTTCAGGTTTTTAAAGTTATATCGTAGAGGTCCTTTACATCTTTAATTCCTAGTTCTTTTTTTTTTTTTTTGAGGTATTACAAAAGGAGATGCTTTCCTGATTTCAGCCTTGCTTTTCTCATTGTAGCATACAAAAAAGCAATTGATTTTTGTGGGCTAAGGAGAAAAATATATTAAATGAAGTAAGACGGACTCAAAGAAACATAGACTACATGCTTTCCCTTATTTATAATAACTAGAGTATGTCTATAAATCTACAAGCAAATCCAATGGATAGTAGAAGACAAATAATTACACTTGGATATGATCAATTAAACAGCACCCTAAGCATTCGCACACTGAGAACAAAGGAGGACATTCTTAGGAGAGGATCCCAATGGCTCAATAGCTATGCATATGACCATATAAAATGATGCCTATCAAAATGAACTCCAAGAAATGGGAACAAAAGTTTTAATTGTACTGTTTGCAGTTATTTCTTTTTTTTCTTTTTTTCTCCTTTGGTTTATTCTCTCGGTTGATGCTGTTTTTTTTTTTTTTTTATTTCTGTAACCTTGTCTTGTATATAAGTTTATCTGAATTGGGGAAAAGAAGGGGAATCACACAGTGGGACAAAGGGTGAACCAATGCAACAGTGATACTCACTAAACACTATGTTGGAAATGAACTATACAACTTGGGGGATTGGGGTGGGGAAGAGGGAGAAAATGTCCAAAAAGAAATGTACTCATTGGGCTAGGAAGGTGGCTTAGTGGTAGTGCTTGCCTTACATTCATGAGGCCCTGGGTTCAATTCCTCAGCACCACATAAGCAGAAAAAGCCAGAAGTGCACTGTGGCTCAAGTGCAGCTCAAAGTGAGCTGAAGAGCTGAGGGACAGCACCCAAGCCCAGAGTTCAGGCCCATGACCAACAAAACAACAACAACAACAACAACAACAACAACAAAACGGATATCATTGGTAGATGGTTGGGATAAGCAAGCTGGGATCAAAAATTTGAGTTTGGCACCTGTCTTGTTCATTGGGGTATCTAACCTCATTCATCTGTAATGATTGAAACTCTTAAATCCTAGTTCAGTTAGAAACTAACTTCTCATAACTCCTTACACACACTGCCGACACACACACACACACACACATACACACACACACACACACACACACACACAGAAAGAAATGTATTCATTATCTTACTTATGTAACTGTACCCACTCACTGTGCATCACCTTTACAATAAAATTTAAAGAAATCCTTAAGGAAGTGGCACTGTGGCTTAAGTGGTAGAGCGCTAGCCTTGAGCTGAAGGGGAAGTCTTTTAAGTTCTGAAAAGCTGTTTAGAATCTATTTTCTAATTTCTTCATAAAGCCATCACAACTTTTGAGTTTTAACTGACTGCTCATACCAATTATTATCTGTGAGATAAATCTCTTGTTCAGACTTCTGGATACACTAAAATCTGCACAGAAAGGAACTATTTGATCATTCTAAACATTTCCTAGAGATTCTTCTCTTTGACAGTATAAATTCTTAAGATTTCTGCTTTGGGGGTATTAAAACTGGGTGTGTATGTTTAAAAAATGTTCACATTGTTGTCTATAGGGGTATCTATCTTCTGACTGATCTAATCTTCTAACTAATGCAGTTTGCTGCTGAACTGGAACCGTGAAAGGAGGAGTTGAGACTTATGTCCAGTGAAATTTTCCAGTAAATGAAGCAAGCACTGAATAAAACTCTCCTGCACTGGGTGCATAACAGGCTTATCTTCTGTGAAGGAACCTACTGATGATATTTCCCCATGAACTACCATACCCCTTATACCTGGTGCCTCTACTTGTAAATGTAAAGTTTTAAAATAAACTATTGCAGATATATATGTTGTAGTGTTTTTCATTTTATGGGTCATAATGAGAAATCCATCTTAAAATAAGGATCACTTAAACATCAACGTTAACTATTGGTTCTAAAACTTGGCTACTCCAGACTTACCTAAAAGAAAAAATAAAAAAAGACAGTACTTGGAATCTTGAGTTAAACAGCCTGAGGTGAAGAGATTTTTTAGCGTGCAATCGAGTTTGTTGACTCTGTAAATGGAGAAGACCAGGCCTTCTTATCTGACATCAAGTAAATCAAGGAACAGCTGAGCCCAATCTCTGAGCATTAGTTCATGTTCTTTCCCCATTGCCACCTGCTGGACTCTGATGTCTCCTAGGGCTCCTCTCTGGCCCCCAGAATTGAGAATGTTCATGGATAGCTTCACAGGTGGCCAAGGCAAGGCTATTCTTGAGTACAAAGCAAAGGAAAGGCAGGAACTGATTTGCAGAGTCTCTCTGTTCTAGTTCACCACATCTCTTTGACTTCCCCTATATATCCTCCAGTTAACTTTTACTGAATTCCTGTTTTTCAAACATGCCAGGTACATTCTAGCTTGCATGCTTGCTGTTCCTTCTAACTAAAATAGGCCCTTTCAGGGAACTCCACTTGTGCCTTATTCGCCCTTAACACCCGACACATTTCATTTGTCCTTCTCTCCACTCCCACGGTAATGGGACAGTAGTATTTCACTCATTGCTAAATCCCAGTGCCCACCCCTTACTCTGACCTATTACAAGCTGGGCCCCAAAGCCTCATGTTTCCTGACAAGGAAAGAATAAGTACTAGACCAGTACTAGACCAGGTCTAGGCAACAAGTCCTTTTCCTATGAAGCCCAAATTGAAGCATCCAAGCTGATCAGCTTGCTCGAGTTTTGGCAGTGGACGTAGTCAAGTGTTCTGACTCTCACAGAACACTGTGATCTCAATATGCCATTGACTGGGTTTTTATGTCGAGGCAAATCTATCCTAATTTGGCTCAAGATTCGCATGCTGATTGTTCACAGGTAGCAGGGCAGTTTTCTCCATAAAGACAGACCCTTCCAGTTAGTAAAACAGACACTAGGTAAAAACAAACAAACAAAAACTATATATAGAACATTCATTGATCTTTATTTGATTTGACAAAAATCTGCATTATTAAAAGACAGGTAACAAAATCTGAGCTTCTATGAATCTTACATTAGGTTCTACAGTATTATGTAAGAAACAATAACTGACAGACAGACATTATCACAGGCAGATGCTCCTGCCAAGGGGGGACTTGGGGACTTGATCTGCAGGTGAGGTACAGGGTGTGCAGTGCAATAAGCAAAACCCTAAAGAAAATGCAAGTCATTTGCCTGGATAAAGAAATGTTTTGTTTTTGGTGCCAGTCCTGGGGTTTAAACTCAGGGCCTGGAAACTGTCCCTAAGCTTTTTTTTGCTCAAAGATAGCATTCTACCACTTGAGCCACAGTTCCACTCTGGCTTTTTGGTGCTTCACTGGAGATATGAATATCATGGACCTTTATGCTCAGGCTGGCTTTGAACCATGATCCTAAGATCTCAGCCTCTGGAGTAGCTAGGATTACAGGAGTGAGCCATTGGTGCCTGGCAATTATTATTATTTTTTTTGGGGGGGGGGAGAAAAAGGTGGTAAAGAGGGGCAAGGATTCAAAGGCATATACCAAATGGCTTCTCCATTTCCAAATGGTAATAAAAATATGAAATTATGGCACTAGGGCACCTTTGAGGAAAAGAACACCTTAACCGGAGTAGGTTCATTGCATAATTCTTTAGTAATAGGTACAATTTTCAAGTAATGAAGTGGACTTAAAAAGACTAATTTCACTCTGGCAGTGGCTATCTGGTTTTCTTCTCGCCTTCTGGGGCTGGCTCTGTTTCAGCATCGCAGGGACACTTTTCCACACAGTTTCTGGGAAACCAGCCTCTTATTCTTGAAACACCTGAGGGACAAAGTAAGATGGAGGTAAAATGGATGGATGTACTACTTTGGGGACAAGTCCTGTGGCTTGAAATGAGTAAGATTGTAGTTAGACTTCCCACCATTCCTTGAGTATCTCATATGAGCACAGCTTGACTTCTCACAAACTGAATAAGGGGTGGACACTCCCCACTTGGCACTGTCTGGCAAAGGAGCGAATGCATTTGAGCCAGCGCCTGACGAGTTGAGGACTTTAGTAGATGATCAGAAAAGGTGATTTGGCATGCCTCTAGCTGCATCATTCTGGGAACCAGCTCGCTACATCCTCTGTGCTTGCTTCCTCCTTAAGACTGTTCTTTTTCTCTATCTCCTTCTTTCTCCTCCTCTATACTTCCTTCCTTCCTCCCTCCCTTCCTTCCCTGTCCCCCCCCCCCCCCCCCCCCCACCGCCCCGTCTGCCTTTCATTTTTGTGTGCCAGTGGTGGGACTTGAACTCTAGAGCCTGAATGCGGTCCCATAGCCTTTTTTCCTCATGGGTGGCATTCTACCCCTTGAGTCACTGCTCCACTTCTGGCTTGTTTTTTTTTCTTGGCAGTTAACTGGAGATAAGAATCTCACAGACTTTCCTGCCTCTGCTAGCTTCAACCTGATATCCTCAGATCTCAGCCTTTTAAGTAGCTAGGATTACAAGCATGTCACTGGAGCCCAGCTTGTTTTTTGTTTTTTTGGTTGGTAATGGGTCTTGAACTCTAGGCCTGGTCCCCATTCCTGAGCTCTTCAGCTCAAGGCTAGTGCTCTACCACTTGAGCTGCACCACCACTTCTGGTTTTCTGGAGGTTAATGGAGATAACAGTTCCTGTGTGGCCAGGCTTTGAACCAAGGTCCTCAGATCTCAGCCTTCTGAGATTACAGGTGTGAGCCATGGGCGCCCGGCCAGCCCAGCCTTCTTTTTGAACAGGGTCTTAGCTGCCTGGTGCAGCATGGCCTCACATTCCCGAGCCTTCTGTCCAGCCTCCAAGTTCTGGCAAAGTCACAAACCATCACACATGGCACATAAATATCTATACCAAAGTTTCCTAAGCCGGCGTAGGATCAATTTATAAGTAACCACTAGTGTTTTATAAAGATGATCTTGAGTTTCTGAGTGCCAATGGCCTGTAATCCAAGCTATTCAGAGGACTAAGATATGGCAGACTGTGGTTCAGAGTGAGCCTGCACAGAAAACTCCACCAGATTTTATCTCCAGCAAAAAGCTAGTTATTTTGAGTTCAAACCTATATGCTGCCCCCAAAAAAGTAAAATAAAGTATAAAAATAAAATAAATCCAGGCCAGGGGTAATTTTTCCTTTAAAAAAAAAGGAGCAATTCTAGTTTTAAAAATAACACCAGGAATTCTCATTCTAAGAGGAACATACAACACAAGAGTTTAGGGCCACAATGTGGAATCTGAAATTAGAATACTCTCTATACCTGATGGTTACTGTGAGTCTGTGGGCAACTTACTCAGCCTCTCTGCGCTTTGGTCCCTTCACCATTTGGATGTCAGACAGATAGGAGCTGGCGTGTTAGCTGTCACTGGACTTACTATAGGGAAATGCTGAGGAGCTTCTTTTTGCTGCTTGACCACGTGCCCTCTGCAGTTCTCGGACATACCAGGATTATTTGCATGTTAAATTTTTCCATATAAAACTTGGAATGATTGCTGGGAGTTATATTCTTCCAGCATACCTTTCAGTGTCCATACCTTCTGTAAAGGGATCATCAAGAATTTTGTCTCCATACAGCCAGTATCTAAGATAATAAAATATTAAATTTAATTTGCTTTTGGATAGATGTTGGTTTTCACTAAAGAAAAACATAGATCTTTCTGTAACTCACCTTAACCCTCTTGTGGCTAAAATGAACTCTCCTTTCTGCAGCTGAATTCGAGGCTCTTCAGTGCAAGGGCTTGTGAAGAAAGTTTTTATTCCTCTATTCAAAGGACAGTAGGCACCATTGTAATTTTCTATTACCTTATAGCGAATCTGTCGACAATGGTGAGAAGAACAAGGTGAATATCTGCCATAGTATTTGAGTTATTGGAACTAAGAATTTTTTTTTATTGTGAAAATACCGTACAGAGGGGTTACATGGGCAAGATAATGAGTACATTTCTTATCAAGCATTGTAGTCCCCTCCTTTGTTTCCCCTTCCCATCCCTTCCCATCTCCCACCCCTACTCCCCCCTCCCACCCCCACTCCCTGGACAAAGTTGTAAAGTTCGTTATTCCACATAATGTCTTGTACATCTCATTGTTGCAATGGGTCCATCTGTATCCCTATTTAAACAATGTTTCTTCCCTACCCCTCCAAAAATTATACCAACACCAAATACAATGAAAGCAGGGGTTATACCGTGGGGGAGCAACATACAAAGCAACAAAGAGACCATCTTATAAATATGTTAGAAACAATCTCATGAAAGAAAAACATTTGAATACTTATCTTGGGGTTCATTTCACCTAACATCAACTTATCTGACCTTTTCTTATATGTCTGACTCAGACATATACTAGTTATTGCAAATAAGGGAAACCATGGAACCTATGTTTCTTTGGGCCTGGCTTACTTCACTTAATATAATTTTTTCCAAGTCTTTCCATTTCCTAACAAATGGGGCAATGTCATTCTTTCTGATGGAGGCATGGAATTCCATTGTGTATATATACCACATTTTCTTGATCCATTCATCTACTGAGGGGCATCTGGGTTGGTTCCATATCTTAGCTATGGTAAATAAGGCTGCAATAAACATAATTGTGCTGGTAGCATTAGTGTGGTCTTGTTTGTAAACATTTGGGTAAATGCCCAAAAGTGGGATTGCTTGGTCATAGGGGAGCTCTATGTGGAGTCTTTTGAGGAACCTCCATACTGCTTTCCAAAGTGGTGGAACAAGTTTACACTCCCACCAACAATGCAGTAAGGTTCCCTTCTGTCCACATCCCCTCCAGCATCTGCTGTTATCAGAGTTCTTGATTATAGCCATTCTAACTGGGGTGAGGTGGTATCTCAATGTTGTTTTGATTTGCATTTCTTTTATGGCTAGGGAGGTTAAGCATTTCTTCATGTGTCTATTGGCCATCCTTCTTTCCTCTTCAGAGAAGTTACTCTGTAAGTCTTTAGCCCACTTATTTATTGGGCAGTTGTTTCTTTGAGGATTTGTTGTTGGGGATTTAATTTTTTGAGTTCCAGATATATTTTAGATATGAGACCCTTGTCCGTTGTATGGCTAGTGAAGATCTTCTCCCAATCCGTGGGCTTTCTATTGATTTTGCTAGCTATGTCCTTTGCCATGCAGAAGCTCTGCAATTTCATTTGTCCAACCTTTCTTTGATTTGTTGTGTTTCTGGGTCTCTATTAAGAAAATTTCAGCCTGTGCCAAGGAGACCTAGGGTTTCTCCTATTCCATCCTGTAATGTTTTCAGAGTGTCTGCTTTGACTCCAAGGTCTTTGATCCACTTGGAGTTGATTCTGGTACATGGTGATATATAAGGATCTAGCTTTAGTTTTCTACAAGCAGTTAACCAATTTTGCCAGCACCATTTACTGAAGAGGCTGTCTTTCTTTCTTTCTATTTTTTTTAGCCTCCTTGTGGAAGATTAGATGGCTATAGGTCTGAAGGTTCATTTCTGGGTTTTCAATTCTATTCCATTGATCCTGAGGTCTGTTCTTGTGCCAGTACCAAGCTGTTTTGATTACTATGGCTTTGTAGTAGAGTTTGAAATTTGGTATTGATATTCCTCCAGCACTGTTCTTTCTGTTAAGGATTGTTTTTGCTATTCAGGGTGTTTTATTGTTCCATATGAATTTTTGGATTGCCTTCTCTATTTCCTTGAAGAATGAGGCTGGAATATTGATAGGTATTGCACTGAATTTGCAGATAGCCTTGGGAAGTATTGCCATTTTCACAATGTTGATCCTTCCAATCCAAGAGCAGGGGAGGTTTTGCCACTATCTAAGTTCTGTTTTGATTTCCTTTTTCAGGTTTTTAAAGTTTTCATGATAGAGGTCCTTCACTTCTTTGGTTAATTCCTAGGTATTTTATTTTTTGTGGGGCTATTACCAATGGAGTTGCTTTCCTGATTTCAGCCACGCTTTTCTCATTGTTGGCATACAGAAAAACCATTGATTTTTGTGGGTTAATTTTATACCCTGCTACTTTGCCAAAGTTTTGAAAAAGCTTGAGTAATTTGGAAGTGGAGTCCGTGGGATTCTTTAAATACAAGATCATGTCATCTGCAAAGAGGGAGAGTTTTACTTCATCTTTCCCTATTTGAATCCCTTTTATGTTTGCATCTTGTCTTATTGCTGTAGCTAGGCATTCTAATACTAGATTGAAGAGAACTGGAGAGAGTGGACATCCTTGTCTCGTTCCTGAGTTAAGAAGAAATGGCTTTCGTTTTTCACCATTAAGTATAATGCTGGTTGTAGGTTTGTAATATACAGCCTTTAGTATTTAGTGTATTGAGGAATGTTCTATGGATTCCTCATTTTTCCAGAACCTTCATCATAAAGGGGTGTTGGATCTTGTCAAATGCGTTTTCTGCATCTATTGAGATAATCATGTGGTCCTTATACTTGCTCTTGTTGATGTGATGAATTATATTGATTTGCATATATTGAACCAGTCCTGTTTGAGCATGGTGCATGATTTTTTTGGATGAATTGCTGAAGCCGATTGGCCAAAATTTTGTTGAAAAGTTTTGCATCAATGTTCATTAAAGAAATGGGTCCATAGTTCTCTTTCTTTGATGAGTCGCTGTCTGGCTTTGGGATGAGGGTTGTGATGGCTTCATAGAATGAGTTCAGTAGTGAACCTTCTCTTTCAATTTCATTGAAGAGTTGGAGGAGTATTTGGTGTGAGCTCTGCTTTGAAGACCTTGTAGAATTCTGCTGTAAAACCATCTGGTCCTGGGCTTTTCTTAGATGGGAGATCTCTTATTGCTGTTTCTATTTCAATGCTTGATATAGGCCTGTTAAAATGGTTTAACTCAGTTTAGTTTCGGCCCGTCAATATTTGCTAGGAAAAGATCCATTTCTGCCAAGTTCTCAAACTTATTAGCATAAAGGTTTGAGAAGTATTCCCTTATAATGTTCTGAATCTTGGTTGTGTCTGTGGTGATGTTTCCATTCTCATCTTTGAGTTTATTTATTTGGGTTTGTTCTCTTCTTTTTGGGATAAGATTTGCTAAGGCGGGCTGGGAAGGTGGCTCAGTGGTAGAGCGCATGCATGAGGCCCTGGGTTCAATTCCTCAGCACCATATAAGCAAAAAGAAAAAAGCCGGAAGTGGCGCTGTGGCTCAAGTGGTAGAGTGCTAGCTTTGAGCTTTGAGCTGAGGGACAGTGCCCAGGCCCAGAGTTCAGGCCCCACGACCGGACCCCCCCCCCAAAAAAAAAAAATTGCTAAGGGTCTGTCAATTTTATTTTTTCGAAGAACCAGCTCTTTGTTTTGTTGATTCTTTCAATGTTTTTTTATTTTGGATTCTAATTCATTTAATTCTGATTTAATTTTAATTATTTTTTTCCGCCTACTGGATTGAGGTTTATCTTGCTGCTCTTTTTCAAGGAGGCTCAGATGTCTCATTAAATTGTTGGTTTCAGATCTCTCCAATTTGATGTAGGAACTCAGAGCTATAAACTTGCCTCTGAGTACTGCTTTTGCTGTGTCCCAAAGGAGATGGTAATTTGTGAGTTCATTTTTGTTGAATATCATGAACATTTGAATTTTGTTTTTAATCTCTTCCATGACCCACTAGTGATTCAACGCTGTATTGTTCAGCCTCCATGTGTTACAGGACTTTCTTTGGTGGCTTTTGGTGTTGAGTTCTAATTTTATTCCCTTGTGGTCTGAAAGAATGCAAGGTATAACTTCAATATTTCTGAATTTGGACAAGTTTGCTTTGTGGCCTAAAATGTGGTCTATTTTGGAAAATGTTCCATGTGCTGCTGAGAAAAATGTGTATTCTGATGTGCTGCGTGAAATCGGTAGATGTGTGTTAAATCTAGTTGATCTATGCAGCTGTTTAAATCTGGGGTTTCTCTGTTGAGTTTTTGCCGAGTTGATGTATCTAGTGGGGATAGTGGTGTGTTAAAGTCCCCAACAATTCATGTCTTTGGATCTATGTGAGATTTGAGGGAAAGTAGTGTTTCTTGGATAAATGTGTACTCTGTTGTTTCCTGAAGGAGAGATGCTTAATTATTATGTAGTGACCTTCTTTATCGCTTCTCACTAGTTTTAATTTGATGTCTATTTTATCTGATATTATGATTGCAACCCCCGCCTGTTTATGGGGACCATTTGCTTGGTAGATTTTGTTCCAGCCTTTCACTTTTAAAATGTGTTTGTTTTTATGGGCAAGGTGTGACTCCTGAAGGCAGCAGATAGAAGGATCTTGGTTTTTAATCCAACTAGACAGTCTATGTTGCTTAATGTTGAGAAATAGGACTGAGAGGTATTTGAGGGTTCCTGTCATTTTATCCACCTTCTTGGGGGCTGCGGCAACTGGGTTCTTCCTATGGTACATGGATTCTCAGTTTGGGTGCAGTTTATTGGCCTTTATTGTGGTCTTGTTGGTTTTCTAGGTGTAAGACATCTTTAAGTAACTTTTGTAGATGGAGATATATTGTTTCAGTTTTTCTTTGCTATGGAAGGTTTTTATTTGACCTTTGGTTATGAAGGAGAGTTTAGCTGGGTACAGTGTTCTTGGTTGATAGTTGTTTGTCTTTAGGGCCTAGCATACATCATTCCAGGCTCTTCTTGCTTTGTCTCTGCTGAGAAATCTGAGGTGATTCTAATTGGTTTCCCTTTATAGGTGATTGATCTTTTCTCCTTGACAGCTTTAAGGATCTTTTCCTTGGTCTGAATTGTGATGCTGTGTGGATATAATGTGACGGTGGGATGTCCTGTTCTGGTCTGGTCTATTTGGGGTTTTAAAAGCTTCTTGTATCTGAATGTTTGGGAAATTCTCTGCTAGAATCCTGTTAAACAAATTTCCTAGACCATTAACTTCTGTCTCTAGGTGCTCCTCTATACCCATTATCCTCAGATTAGGCCTTCTGATGTTGTTTTCCAAATGTTGAGTAGATCTATCATATTTCTTGATTTGTCTTGGATAGTTGTATGTTCTTTCTCTATAATATCTAGGCTGTCTTCAATCCCGAGATTCAGTCTTCTGCATGGTCTAACCTACTGTCAAGACTTTCTACTTTGGCTTCAAATTCTTTGTTGGAGCTTTGTTTTAGATCTTGTATGAACTTCTTTACTTCCTTAATTTGCTGTGCAGTGTTTATTCTCAAATCACTTAGTTGATTGGTTATGGTTTCCTTGGACTCCCATTCCTTCTGTTGGGCTCCATTCAGCATTCCCTTTGTGGTCTCCCTGACTTCTTTCAGCTGTCTGTTTATGGAGTCCATGAATGCCTCTATTGATCTTTGTCTATTCTCATCCTCCTCTCGCAGGATGAAGATATCTGCTCCTTGTCAGTTGTCAGTTTTTGCTGGTGTTGAGTAGAATCCACTCGTCTGCTGTGTCTGGTGCCTTTCTCCCAGACTTTCTGTGTTGTAGGTATGGTGGCTATAGCCGCAGCCACCGCAGCTGCAGCTACTGGAAAGTGCTCAGATCTGTCTCCTTGCCTGGATTTTCCCTCTCTGGCCAAACTCTCTGTACTGTGATGGCACACTTGGTGTAATTCTCTGGCCTAGGACTGATCACTAAAACTGCTTTCTATTCGAGAGCTTGTGCAGCCTCCAGTTTTTCCTCTGCCATCTTCCCAGAACCCCCTTTGGAACTCAGAATTTTTAAGGTGGACCCAAAACATCTAGTGACAAGCCATGTTCTCTCTTAGCTCTCCACTCAGCGTGTTCCCCAAGAGGAGGCAGGTGGCAATTCCAGTCTTCAGGATTTTCTTGCTCATTTTCAGCACAGAGCTGTTGAAAGCTCCACAGCAGTATTACCCAAGCATGCAAACATTTTCTGAATTCCACATCTGTGCTCTTAATGGGGCCCCTAGACACATGTGGTTACTGAACACTATCATGTGGCTAGTACACATGAGGAGCTGAAATTTTAATTTAATTTTAATTAAAACTATATAGGCATATGAAGCTAATTAGTAGCAATGGATCTGACAGCCTGGTTTAAGGATGGGTTCCATCTTATGAAATCCATATGTGATGAATAAATTTATATATATAAATGCATATATTTGGCCGGGAGTGGGGAATGAAGAGGTACTGGGTTTTAATTCAGGGCCTCATGCTTGCTTATAGGTGTTCTACCACTTGAGCCACACTGCCTTTTTGTTTTAGTAATAATTTAGGTAGGATCTCATACTCTACTCAGGGGCAGCTTTGACTGAGATCTTGCAAATTATGCCCTTGTAGCTAGTATTATAGGTGTGTGCCACCACACCTAGTTTGTTTGATGGAATCTTGCTAACTTTTTGCACAAGCTTAACTTGAACTCCAAGTGCCTCCAAGTCACTATGATTATAGACATGAACCATCAGGCTCTTAACAAGCTACATGGAGAATAACTTCTTTTCTATGCTGGCAAAATGGAAATTCCGTTTATACCTGCAGTCCCCACAATTTAAATGCCCATAAAAGTGAATCGCATCAAATTCCAACAAATATATTAAGGAACAGTATGTAATATAAGCTTTGGGTTTCTACAGATACTTCATATAGAAGTTTAGTGCCTGAAACAAAAATGAAATCAGTATCCTTGCAAAAGAATTACTTACACTTCTGACTCTCTTGTCAGCTTTTTGTTTCAACTGTTCTATCTGTATGGAAGAGACAAAAAGGAAAAAGTAAATCTTTGACTCAACGTAAAAACACACTCTACCCTCTTTAGTATCAGAGTAACCTGAGAATCTCCAGTTTTCCTGTATTTTATATTGTTGGCAACTTTAAGCCACAAGCCCTGGGAACTGGGGACTCAGAGCAGGGCCTTCTCAGAACCTACTTGCCTGTGTTGGCTGTGTGTATTCCTGTTGGGCCACTGTGGCCCAGGATGAGAGCTTAGTGGTCTGTGCCTGCATTTCTAGGCTAGTGTGCAAGACAAAGACCCTGAGACTCACCAACTCTCTGGACACAGGAAAGTTGTAATGCTCTTCCCTCCTTCGCTACTACCAGTAATAGTATATTAAATATAGTAGAGAAAATATGACCTGCACTCTAGACTCCTGTCAAATTAAAGACATCGGCTACAAGAATGAAAATGATGAGGTCTCATGAGTATAGGGCAGTGACATATGGCCAGTGTCCAGTGCAGAAAAATCTAGAGTAGGGAGGTTTGTATAGAAACAGTGAAACTGGCAGTGGTCTTGAGGACAGACAGAAAGGAAGCCACCTGAGGTAGAGAGAGTACAGGCAAAGTCAGGTGGCAGGAATGTACAAGAGTTCCCATTATACTGTTGGAAGGCAATTTTAGGGCAGATTTTTTACAACCATGTGAAAGAGTTAGGAACTTTGTCACACAGGTCTGGAGTATTTCAGACTAAAGGAAGAAACACGACAACAGATATTTTTAGAGTATTAGATCTGCTGTGACACACTGATAACATCTGGATTATATTACTATCACTGAGTTAAGAGACAGAAGGCGAGGAACAAAAGAAGGGCTCTTGGAACACAAATACCTACCGTTAAGCTATACTGGTGACATCCTTCTCTTATCGGCCACTCCAATCCATCTCCTTCAGGCACCCCTGAACACGTAAAAACCTGTTTAAAGTTCTTCCATCTACTTCCCAAGTCATAGGGAAAAACAAAGATTTCATCTAGCTGGTAATATTGAATTCGATCTTTAGCCTGTGGATAACAAAGATACAAAATAGCAGCTACTGGGCTGGTTAGGTGGCTCAGTTGCTTTACATGCATGAGGCCCTGGGTTTAATTTCTCAGTACCACATAAACAGAAAATGCTGGAAGTGGCGCTGTGGTTCAAGTGGTAAAGCTCTGGACTTGAGCTGAACAGTTGAGGGACAGAGTCCTGTCCCAGAGTTCAAGCCCCATGACCGACAAAAAACAAACAAACAAAAAAAGCAGATACTTAGGTCTCAAGTGGTTTTCAGTAAACATTAGTGGGAATACTTATTTCTCAAGTTTGTTTCAGTCACAACTGTACTTTCTTCTTGCTTAGTATACAAAAGAAAAAAAGATTCTCTTTATCATACTCTGAGGAATTTGACACAGGAAACCAACTTCATATGCTCATAGGTAATGAATGTTTTATAAAAAACTTATTTGTGTGTGTGTGCTGGTGTTGGGGCTTGAACTCAAGGGTTGGGCACTGTCCCTTAGATTTTTTACTAAAGACTGGTAACTATATCACTTGAGCCACAGCGCAGCTTTTGAGTGGTTAACATGAGATAAAGCTGGGTTGGCTTTGAATCTCAACCCTTAGATCTAACCTCCCGAGTAGCTAGGATTACAGGCATGTGCCAAAAAAGCCTGGTGAAAAACACTCTTAAAAAACCAGAAGAGCTGGGTGCTGATGGCTCATGCCTGTAATCCTAGCTACTCAGAAGGCTGAGATTTGAGGTTCAAAGCCAGCCTGGGCAGGAAAGTCCATGAGACTCTCATCTCTAATAAACCATCAGAAAACCAGAAGTGGTGCTGTGGCTCAAGTGGTAGAGCACTAGCCTTGAGCTGAAGAGCTCAGGAACAGCGCCCAGGCCCCAGTGCCCAGGCCCAGAGTTCAAGCCCCACAACCGACAAAAACAAAACAACAACAAAAAAAAAACCCAGAAAGTGCTGTTGGTGGGAGTGGAAACTTGTTCAACCACTCTGGAAAGAAGTATGGCAGTTCCTCAAAAGACTACACATAGAGCTCCCCTATGACCCAGCAATCCCACTTCTGGGATTTACCCCAATGATCACAAACAAGGCCATATTAAAGTTACCAGCACAACTATGTTTATCACAGCATTATTCACCATAGCTAAGCTATGTGACCAACCCTGATGCCCCTCAGTAGATCAAGAAAATGTGATATATATGTATGTGTATATATATATATATATATATATATATATATATATATATATATGAACTCTATGCTTCCATCAGAAAGAATGACACCACACAATTTGTTAGGAAATAGAAAGACTTCAAAAAAAAATCACATTAAGTAAGTCAGACCCAAAGAAATATAGGTCCTGTGGTTTCTCTTATTTGCAATAATCAGTATATGTCTAAGATAAGCTTATCAGATGAGCAAAAAAAAGCTCAAAAGTTATGTACATATGACCATATAAGATGATACTAAGCAAAATGACCCCCAAGATATAGACATAAGAGGTTTTTCTTTGTTGTTGTTTTAATGTACTTTGTGATTTTTGTTTGTTTGTTTCTGTTATATGTTCTTTCTCCTATGGCATATCCCTGTTGTCACTGTATTTGATTTTGGTACCTTGCATCTTGTATCTACATTTATTTAATTTGGGGAGGGGAAGAAGAATAACAAAATGCTGAAACAAGGACATAGGATGACTAATTGCAACAATGATACTCACAAGACACTATGTTGGAAATTAACTTTACAACTTTGGGGGGGGGGGCGGTGAAGGAGGTGAAGGAGGAAAGGGATAGTAGGAGAAAAACAAGGGAGGGGTAACAATGCTCAACAAGGAATGTACTCATCACCTTACTTATGTAACTGTAACCCCTCTGTACAGCATCTTTATAAGAGAATAAATTTTTTTTAAAAAGAGAAAGTGTGTGTAGATGATCTTTCATTTTTAAGAAAATATTATCACACAATATAAATTAATATTTGCATTTACTTTCACATATTATGCATTTACATAAAAATTTAAGTAACATCAATTATATTTTAGGCAATTAAATGGTTAACTAACCTAAGGCAATACACTAGCTTCAAATTTCTTAAGTTCTGCTGACCCCTAGTGGTATAAAGATACAAAGATACATTCTAGCAACAATGTGTAAACTTTAAATTTGTGTGTACTTCAGTGTCTAGTAATTTCTATTAATTTCCCATAGATTTAGTATCACTTGAATTATTTACTCAGTGATAAAGTGCAAGTTTCAAAATAAAGTTTAAGTTCAGCAAGTTACTTTACAGTTTTAAATTAGCAAAGTTAACCTACTATCTATTTATGATGCTTACTAGAAATGATACTTTGAAATATTTGACTACAAAGCTTCTCATAAGAAATCTTCTATGGTTATTTATAATAAGTAATGTGGATATTGACTTTATTAAAAACTTGTTCCCAAGCTATAACATGAATGAATCTTCATTAAGAAAATGTGGATCATGCCTGTACTCTTAACTACTCAGGAGGCTGAGATCTGAGGATCATAGTTTAAAGCCAGCCTGAGCAGAAAAGTCCTTGTCAGACTCTTATCTCCAATTAATCACACAAAAACCAGAAGTGGTGCTGTGGCTCAAGTGGTAGAGTGCTAGCCTTGAACACAAAGAAGCTCAGGGACCTGAGCACCCAGGTCCTGAGTTCAAGCCCCACAACCACCACCACTATCACCACCACCACCACCAACAACAAATGAAAGAAAGAAGAAAAAGAAAAACAAGAAAAGAAAAGAAAAGGAAATGTATACACCTTTCCTCATTAGTGGAATAAATAGTTTTTTCTTTTTCTTTAATTTTCTTTGTTGGTCCTGTGCTGTGTTAAACTCAGGGCCTAGGCACTATCTTTGAGCTTTTTTGCCTAAGGCTAGTGCTCGACCACAAGTCTACTTGCAGCCCTTTGGTGATTTTTTGCAGATAAAGAGTTTCCCGGACTTTCTGGTCCAGGCTGCCTTCAAACTGTGACCCTCAGATCTCAGTTTCTTGAAAGGATTACAGGTGTCATTGTGTTCTTTCTTATTTTGTAAAACAATCAAACTGAAGCTCAGTAAACAGACAGGTACAGTATTTACAGAGAAAACCTGGTAAGAGGACAGTAGTTTACAAACATAACTCCATCAAAAATAACTGTCTTTGTGTTAAAGGGGCAGTAAGTGAAGATGGGTTTATGTCAATGCTATATTCAAAGGTAAGGCACGTGGTGAAACTATGGGCTGTAGGTAAGGGAATAAAAGTACCTAGAAAGGCTTGGAGAGAGCCAAGGAAGGAACTCTGTAAGAAGTGAGAGTCAAGCAAAAAGTCTGGGAAGAGTATCTAGGCTGAGAACAACCTGTGTAAAGGTATAGAAGCTCTTGGTGTGAACCAGAAAGTGCCAAGGGCAGAAAATGAGTGGAGAAGCAGACCAGGGGAAATCAGGAAAGGTCATGCTATGTATACGCTAAGGTGCTTGATGTAAACCTGTGTGGTTCTCAAAGCCTGGTTTTTTTAGGTCCCATTAAGTCTCTGAGACCTCTTCTTTGGTTTTAAGAAAGTCAAAGTATTTTCATAAGAATACTAAAATTATTATTTGCCTTTATATTGTGTTGACATTTGCAATGGCACCTAATTTGCTGGCATCTAATAGGAATCAAAACACTGGCACCAAACTGTTAGTCATAATATTGTTTGCCATTACAGTGTGGTACTTGGGATTTCTTTTTAAAGTCAGGGCATCAGGTTTGCTAGATTGTTTTCTCAGTAGGTATTTTTAGGAGTGTTTCCCTTCCAAACCTGGTGTAGCCTCTGAACTGTGATCCAGGTTACTACAGGCTACTATTACTACAGGCTCTGACTGGTTATAGCTCTGACTGGTTCCAGACCCCACTGTATCCAACTTCCCTTCAATGGAGATGAAGTCCCATGGGAAATCTCAGTAACTGGAATGGCCTTGTACCACAATCTTCAAAGTCTCAGCCTCCTACATAGCTTGGGATGATAGGTACTCAACACTGCACCCAGCTATGAGTTGAAAAGGAGTCTTGCTAACATTTCTGTTCTAGATGGCCTTGAATGATGATCCTTCCATGCTTGGCCTTCTAAAGTAATTAGGATTACAGGCATGAGCACCTAGCCTTCAATATACTGTTAAAAAAATAATTTCATGTATAAATGTTCTTTTGGTACTGAGGTTTGAACTCAGAGCCTTGCTGCCTCAATTGCCACTCTACCATTTGAACCAACTACCTTCTGTTGACTCAAAATACTGAAGAGATTTGTAAAACTATAAAACAAGGCCACTTTTCCCCAATTTCTCATTTGAAAAGTATAATTTTCATAAAAATGTTATTTTTACTAACTACATGTTACTGCTATTTTAAGTGAAATAATATTCTAAAACTTCTCTCGGAAAATATGGTAAATACCAACAGATATACTACACATAAAAGCTATTTTTCTCCTTAACTTTTGGGAGTATAAAATGATTGTGAGACCAAAATCTGAGAACTAGCTGCTTAAGCTAATGTCTACAGACAAGTTGCCAGGGGCTAAATATGTCCTACATATATGTATGTGTGTGATTTTATTGTTATTTTTTTTTCTTTTTGTCGGTTGTAGGGCTTGAACTCTGGGCTTGGGCGCTGTCCCTGTGTTCTTCAGCTCAAGGCAAGTGCTCTACTGCTTGAGCTACAGCGCCACTTCCGGTTCTCTAGTGGTTTATTGGAGATAAGAGTCTCACAGATTTTGGTGCCTGGGCTGGCTTTGAACCACAATCCTCAGATCTCAGCCTCCTGAATAGCTAGAATTATAGGCATAAGCCACTGGCACCTGGCTGATTTTATTATTTTCTATTGTTTTTAATTGGAATTGCTTGATAACATTTAAACAATGAGAGAGCATCTCATAAAATCAAGATTTTTTTACCATCTTCAAAAAAATCCATAAGGTCTTATAATACTGAGGAATCTTTCATGCATGAATCTGGCATGCAGATGATGTAAGGAAACTGGAAGTCAAATTGTCACTTCTGGACACTTAGTAAATTTGATCTGTTAGTTAATATATTATTGAGGAAATAATGATTAAAATTTACCTTCTCTTCAATCCATGATTCAATAGAAGTTTTGTTTCTGAGAATTATTTTCATCTGCAAATTAAATAATGACATTTAATGATGCCTTTGGTTTCCTTAAATGCTCATTTTCACAATCTTCTTATGTGCTAGCTCTCATTGCTCTCTTTCATAAGTAACAACATTCAGGACAAGAGATCACTTCACAGTTAGCATGTGGTCCATCTGACTCTTATGTTTCTTGGTCTTAACCACCATATCACAGTATCTCATCATAAAAATGATATATCAGTAACCAAGTCTGAATCTAGTATTACATTTACTTTTTTTTTTTTTTTTGGGGGGTGGTTGTGGGGCTTGAATTCTGGGCCTGGGTGCTGTCCCTGAGCTCTTCAGCTCAAGGCTAGCGCTTTAACACTTGAGCCACAGAACCACTTTTGGTTTTCTGGTGGTTAACTGGAGATAAGTCTTACTGGGCTGGGAAGGTGGCTCAGTGGTAGAGTGCTTGCCTTGCATGCATGAGGCCCTGGGTTCGATTCCTCAGCACCATATAAGCAAAAAAGAAAAAAGCCGGAAGTGGCGCTGTGGCTCAAGTGGTAAAGCGCTAGCCTTGAGCTGAAGAGCTGAGGGACAGCGCCCAGGCCCAGAGTTCAGGCCCCATGACCAGACCCCCCCCCCAAAAAAAAGTCTTACTGACTTTCCTGCTCAGACTGGCTTTGAACCTTGATTCTCAGATCTCAGCCTCCTGAGTAGGATTATAGACGTGAGCCACTGGCGCCCAGCTATATTTATGTTTTTAAGTAATGTTTTTCAGAGTACTAATAAAGCACTGGATACATCAAGTATTTAAATGTACTTGCTATTAACATCTATTAACAGCATTGTAAAATTTAAATTTATGACTAATCTATTTACAAGTAATGGTGACATTTCTGTCAACCTATATATACTCTACTTGTCATAGTGTATTCATTATTTCTTCAATTTTTCCATTTTCTTAAACACAAGTGATCCACTCATAAAAGTTTTCACACTTTAGAATTTTAGTTTATTGCTATTATGATTTTTTAAATTGTTCTTCCACCACTGAGCTGATGCTCTAGATACTTGAACCAGACCTCCAGCCTAGCTTTTGACAGCTAATTGGAGTGAGTTTCAGACTTTTCAGCGCAGGTTGGTTTTGAATCATGATCCTTCAGGTCTCAGTCCTTTTAGTAGACTATGATTAGAAATGTGAGCCACCAGTGCCCAGCTTTCTAATATGACAATTACATTGGGAAAAAAAAATCAATAATTATGAGTTTTCCATGGAACCTCTTCATTTTCACAACTGTAACATCAAACATTAGCAGACTGATTCACCAAAGACTAGGTGGTAAATAGCAACAAAAACTATGTCATGGGGTTATTATAAATGAGTTGATAGACTTAAAGTACCTACAATTGTGCCTTATATATAAACACTAAACAAAAGTGTTAGCTATGATTATTCCTTATTATGATTAAATATGCTATTATAAAATGATATTAATAATTATGCTTACTGAGTATACTCATGGTGTCCTTGGGTGAGCCACTTAACCTTTTTGAGAATCAACCACTTATTTGATTGCTAAGGAAATAAGACAGCAATAAGCTGTGTCTGTGTGCCAATCCTGGGGCTTGAACTCAGGACCTGGGTGCTGTCCCTGAGCTTTCTTGGCTTAAGGCTATAGTTCTACTAGTTGAAACACAGCTCCATATCTGGCTTTTTGGTGGCTACATGGACTTTCCTGCCTGGGTTAGCTTTGAACCATGACCCTCAGATCTCAGCTTCAGAATTACAGACATGAACTACTTGGTATCCAGCTAGTAATACAGTTTTATTGGCTTCTTTTGAGTTGATGTGAAGAGTTAAGAACTGTAAAGTAAGAAGAGCTCTCACCTTAACTATATAACTAGAGTATATAAGTTGAGAGTATACACACATATATGTACTCCAGTAAATATTTCATAGATGAAATCAATAATCCCAGAGATTCTCACAAAATTATTTGTCTAGTACCAATGATTAAATTAGTTGCCTAAGTGGGCTAAGCAAAAGTAATTTTTATCTATGTCATTTTAAAATGCAGTCTTTATCTTTCTTACTATAATCAGTCCAAATAAGTGGCCCCTTTTAGCCAGAGGTGACTGAGAAACTCACCTGGATAAAAAACAACATTCCAACAGCTATGGTTGTTCCTAAAGCTAATCCCAACGCAAACAAAGTGGCGGCAAATGCAGCTAAACCAAAAGGAACAACTGGGAGAGGATCTCTCCTTGCTGCACTCATATCAATCTTTATGGTGTTCCACCCAAAGGAGAGCTATAATAAACAACAACAACAATATTCACTTGAAATGGTTGGCTGTCCACTGGTCAATCAAATTCTGCTAAAACAATGACTAAAACATATGCAACCAAAGCAAATGTAGAAAACAAAATACTTTGGGTTGGGCTCATGGTGATGTTTATGATTTTGTCTCTCCCCATCCATCCATCCATCCATCCATCCATCCATCCATCCATCCATCCATCCATCCATCTTCTTACAGTACTGAGGATCTTAGCTAGAATCTCAAACATGTGGACAAATGCTCTAGTACTGAACTGCAGACATACCTCATTCTTAAATTATTCTTTAGAGCTGCTTTTGTTAGTTTCTGCAGTCAACTAAGCTTTATAATTATTAATATTTATGAACAACAATAGACCCCAATGTACGCTGTAATTGTGTCTTCTTGTTATTTTCAAGTTACAACACAGATAACATAGGATTTAAATGCAGGCCAGGCCAAATAGGACCTGGGCCTATATACAATTTGAAAATATTAGAAGTTAGATGCCAACACTTAAAAACCTGAACATTTTATATAAACATTCAAATTCTTTCCTAAGAGATGGGAGGATCTAATATTTCTGGACTAGTATTCCCATAGGCTACAAATAAAATATGGTGGTCCCCCTCTTTGAAGGCCATGTAATATCTAGTTTGCCACAGAGAAAGACCTATGTCTTTCACTGACTTTCCAGGTTGACTAGGGGAGTTTTGTGACCTCTGAACTTTATTTCACAATCACTTACTCTTAAACCAACTCCAACTACAGTTAGTATAACTTGATTATTTTAGGACATGTATGTGTCACCTTACAGGGCACTGGAGTTAGACAAGAACAGAATTATAACCTGCCACATGAACTGAAATCACTACTGTGGCTTTTTCTTCTTGCTCTTTTCCTTTTCTTCCCTTTCCCACCTCTCTATTCTTACCATAACAATTAAGTTTGAAGTCTAACACATGTATAGAATGCTAACATAATTATTAACCAAAACTAGAGTGTCTAAGGTAAATTTCTCGAACAAAATAATCTTTCCTTAAGATTGTTTTCTGAAAAGGAACTGATACAGAGGTGAAACACACTGGCTTGGCTGAATCAGGCAGCATATTTCTAAAAGGAACTTCTTAATGTTGATAACTTCCACTAACTCTGGCATGAGTGATACACTGAACATTTCCACTTACCCGATTGTAAAGCTGTGTGTACATAGTCATAACAAAAATGAAAGCTGCATGGATACAACCCAGTGGGGCCAAAAGGAGAAACAGTGTGAATGAAGCATGATTTTGGTAACCACAACAGTTGTTGATCCAAGGACAGTGATGGTCCATCTTCATCACGCATCTAACAAGAAAAATTTACAGGAGACATGTATAACTGGTTTTCAGAGGATTGAGTATATAGGAATCCAACACATCCAGGAGTCATAGGGGAACAATATTTCATGGAAAACAAAGATTCATCTTTCTGAGCTTTTAAAATTGATAGCTGGGTAGTTACTCCTTTTTAATTCTAGATAGTACGAGAGGGAAGGGAGGCTCAGCAGGGGAGTCATTATAGAGAGATGAGCATAGTCCCTGGTTTTCTTCTAGACTGGGAATGCAGTCAGTGACTCAAGTTGAGTACAGTGGTGAATCCAGAAGAATCACTTTACAAATCTCCCCTGGGTCTCTTGGGGGTGAACAGATATTGTAACTTACTTCCTGTGCACATTATACTTCAGATATGGAACCCTGAGCTCAGCAAGTTGACTGCAGCATATAAGGTACAATAAGAAGAGTCTTACTGTGCTTCTTGTCCTTTTCTTTGCTACAGGAACATTTCTTGGCTTGAAAACAAGTTTTATTTGTCTCCAGTGGTTTCCTAAATTTCTCTTAATCAATAGATACAGTTGCTCATAAAAGATTTTGGCCTATTTCAAACTTTAAAAAAAATAGTGACTCTGATTTCTTCTCATTAAGTTCTTGTTATTAAAACACCGTGATAACAAGTGGATTCATTTTTATTAGATCTGTACAAAGTATAACTATTTGTCCATAAATAATGGGGAAAGTAGGTGCCCTTTATAATTCAGACTCAGAACTGTAAAACTAGTCAAGGTAACAGTCAACAAACACATTTAATTTTGAGAGTCTGTGGAAACTAGAAATGTAACTTTTTACCCTGTTCCTGTAGGGTGAGAGCAAAATATACCTATTTTTTCTAAAAAAAAAAACAAAAAAAAAAACACCCCAACTTTTTATTTATAACAAAGAAAGAACAAAATTTCTTATCTGGATTGATAAAATTTCAGCATAAAATGAAGACGGTAGACACAAATATTTTTGACAAAGCGGCCACTTGGCAGAGAATAAATTTATCCTATTGTGGTAGAAAGTACAACAACAAAACATCAGCAATCAAGTTGTTCCAAGGAACAATATAGACAGATACCTGTTGCACTTTCTGCAGTGATGTGATCGTGGTGCCTTGAATGCTTGGCAAACTTTACAATACTGGAGATACATGCTATCCTGAGAATTTTCCTTGCCAGCAAAATACAAATAAAAATACATTAGTGACTAGATCCCAAGTATTAAGAAATCAGACTTTATGAATAAATGCTTTCCTGTGGTAGGAATTTCTTTTAGATGCAAGAAAGATGCATTTCCAGTCCTTTCATTTGATTAACAGTTAAAAATAACAAAATTTGTGGCAAAAGCAGCTCCACTCTCCACGTTACCCAGAGGTTATTTTTCATTTCCGTTCCCCAGAAATGGAGTAGAATAGGAGTTTAGAAAGAGCTGACAGCTTGGCAGTGTTTTAAGAGTGGAGATTTAAGCCTAAGTTGATACCTTTTCTCAAATCTGCCTTCTTCTTCTATTACCTTTGTCACCTCCTCTCCCTGGGGTCATTATAATAATTCTCCAGTTTCTCTACCTTAATTTCTCTTTAATCTAAACTGTCTGTTGTCCAAATACTGTGCTCACAAAAGAACTACCTTCGCTTGATTTCTAGAAGCTCCCTATAGTCTAACAATTTCTCATAGATTCACTTTACATGGACCTGCCTTTGTTTCATTCTTATCTGTACTACATGATCTCTTTTCTAGTAGTACAAGGCTGCCAGGATCTGAATGTGTTCCTACTGTTGTCAACCTGAAACACCTTCTTTCCCCGTCTGTGCGAACTTTCACTTCTCCCACATGTCTCCAACTGAAAGTGTCGGGTTCTAATATCAGCAACAGCACTCAGTAGATTCTGTCACAGTTTAGTTTTCTTCATAAGTGCATGGTTCCTCTCCTGGCTTATAAGCCTTTTCTAAATAAGTTGATTCTCACTCTTCTCTGTACCATTTCAGAACTACACTGCTCAGAGAGTAACTGTGTTTCTCAAACTTTAATATACCTAAAATGTGACCTGAGGAGTATGTCAAAATAAAAGCTTGACTCAGTAGTTATGGGGTACAGACTACCAGTCTGTACTTCAAATAAGCTACCAAAGTCCCTCAGCAAGAAACAGAATCTAACAGTTTTTGAGAAGACATAAATTGATTCACACTATATTTCTCATTGCTATATTTGCAACACATGGTTTTACATTTTTGTGATCTAAACCAACAGTTTTGACAATGTTTTTCCCAATTCTGAGGAATTTAACGTATTACATGAAAAGAAGATCCTACAGCCAGAATGCACTGTGGCTACATACTGGATTTTCTTAGCTTAACTCATCAACATGGACCTATCCCTCCACTCTATCCTCTGTTTTCTTCTTCTTTTTTTTTTGTCGCTTGTGGGGTCTGAACTTAGGGCCTGGGAGCTATCCCTGAGCTTTTTTGCTTAAGGCTAGTGCTCTACCATTTTGAGCCACAGTTTCATTTCTGATTTTTGGTGGTTAATTGAAGATAAGATTGATTCTCACAAACTTTCCTGGCCTGGGCTACCTTTGAACTGTAATCCTCAGATTTCAGCCTCCTAAATAGCCAAGATTACAAGTGTGAGGAACCAGTGGCTGGCTTCCTTTCTTATTTTTTAAACACAGAACAACTATTCAATGAATTTGCTTTAGATGGACATTTTCAAATAGATATAAATTCTTTGAGGATAAATGATCAATGATTACAATAATACACTCAGTTTCTACCAGGAAAAAGAACATGCTTCATTCTTTGAGATTACTGGTTGGCAGATAAGGCAAAAACAAACAAACAAAATAAACCCCTAAATATACAATTATCATTAAAGTTCATTGTCAAAAGGAATCTTTTTCTTACCGGTTTCCACCCCAAAGGGACGAAGCCAGGACCAACAAACATGGCATTGAAGTAATTATAAAGAATCATGACAGTCCAGTTTATCAACATGATGAAATTCACACTTCCTCCAGTTGTATGTAAGGGCCAATACCACAATACAGAGTCTATCATGGCCATTATAGAACATATTGCTATAACACTGAGGGCTATGATGGGACCCCAGTGACAAAGTCTCTTTAATTCTTGGAGATTTTCAAACTTGATAACTGAGCAGAATGTACCCATTTTGGTACAGAATGCTTTTCTACTTCTAAATAATTATAGATTTCCTTTTTCTGTGTACACATGTCCATGTGTCACAAGTCCATGTTTGTTCTTGAAGTGTCATGCCTTCCAGTTGTGGGAGGTTAATGCAGATTGTGCCATTTTTTACTGTTTGTACTCTGAACTCAAAATCTTAGGTAGGAGAATCCACAATCCTGGGTTGAAACTCAGCCTAAAGAAAATAAAATGGGAAAGTTCAGTATGGGGAAAAAAGAAAAAGAAGATACCATATACTGCATGTGTTAACTCCAAAAAGCACCTCACTAATATGCACACAAATGCACAATGGGATACATAGCTTAGCAAATGTCAAAAACAACTGTCAAAAAACGAGTTACCATATTCTATAAGAGTTTTATCCTGGCTTAAGAGGATAAAGAATTTTAGAGCTGGGAAGTAGAGCCTAAAGGGTTGATCTCTAGAAGCTTCCTTTTTTATTCGACAAAGATTGGCTTAGAGAGCTAAGTGATTAGGCCAAGGTCACAAGTATAGAACGGCTAAGTCCGGAACAGAAACCAAGTTGAACCCTTTTTAGGAAGTTCTAAAGTGCTCCTTAGAGATTTTCAAGTCTGAACCAGACATCTGAGCTATTTGCTTGCAGCTGACCCCAAATGCCAACCACAACAGTCTACTACCCCTGAAAGCAAAGGAGGAGCCGAGAGTGAAAGCTGAAAGACAGGGTGTGTGTATGAGTGTGTATATGTGTGTGAAATGATGACTGCCCTAGTGAGAATATGGACACCAGCATAAAAGAGAAGATTTGAGGAAATAAGTCATTGCCACCAAGGATTTGGGAGGCAGGGCGGAGGACGGCGAGAGCAAGATTTACGTAAGGATATTTCTCACTGGACTGGCGTGAGTCAGAGGAACTTCTTCCTGAGGTATAACGGGCACAGATTCTGAGCTAGGTAGGCAGCAGATTCCCACGCAGCTAATGCCGCTGCAGTGTGCCTCGGTTTCCCCTCTCATGTCACGGAGCGGAGCGCTTAGAAATCCTCACGCAGGGAAGAAACGCGCTAGCACACGAGGTTGGTCTCGACATGGTGGAGACTCTAGTTCCAGTAGGGTGAGACGAAAGCCGCTAAGATCGTAGCTACGCCCCTGCCTCGATTTCCCACCTCAGTCCAGTCCTCAGTGCCCGCTCCTCGGCCATCGCATTTCTGGGACCGCCTGGGTTCACCCGGATCAGTGTTTCTCCTCCTTGGATAACTCCATCATAAGCACCACAAGCCAGAAATGAAGTCCTGGTACCGGAGCGGGGGGAGTGGAACGCAGGACCGCCCGGAGCAGGGCGTCTCTCCACCCCCGTCCTCGCTGCCACTCTCCCGCTCAATCCCACTGCGCACGCGCCACCTCAGCCACTTCCGGGAGGCGCTTGGCCTCAAGCTTTCCCCGGGGAAGCAGGCTCCGGTGACGTGTAGTTTGGGGAGCCCAAACCATTTTCTGGATCGTTGTGGAGACAAAAACGATGTCACTGATCCCTGGGAACACCACTATTTTTGCAGGCGTCTGAAAGGCACTAATGGTGACGCCTTTCTGTGACGAATTTCTGATTCGTGCAGACTGAGCGGAAAGGAGAAGCGCAGGCAGACGGAGTTCCGGAGGACAGAGATTGCGAAGCACAACCAGGAAGCAGCTGGGCTGGGAGCTGTCCCCGGTTCTCCGCTCGACTTAACCCGGCGCCTTTTCAGGGTCCCTACGCCGCGGACCCTGCCCTGCGCGTCCCTCGACCCGACCTAGGCTTCGGCCCGGGTCCTTCACTCCGGAGCCGCCATGTCTTCCGACTTCGAAGGCTACGAGCAGGACTTCGCAGTGCTCACGGCTGAAATCACCAGCAAGATTTCCAGGGTGCCCCGACTCCCACCTGGTGAGAACCCCGGCCGGGCAGGGCCCGGGAGAGCTGGCGTCCGGGGAGACGGGGCGGCCGGCGGCGGTGGAGCGCCGCGGGCCAGTCACCCGGCCGCGGGAAGCTGCGGCCGGCCGCGCCGGCGGTCCCCGGGAGAGATGAGGTTCCAAGATGGATTGTGGGGTGCACGTGCAGGGACCTTGGGAATCTGGGTTCGAATTCCGACTCCAGCTCAGCGCAGTCTGCGTGATCTTTGAGACGTTTTCTCTACGTCTTAATATTCTTTTTTCGGTTGTAAACTATAGAGATAAGAGGGTTCAGAGAAAATGAATGAAAGTACCAAGATGATGGATCTGCAATGTGGAGCTGCGTTGTGATATTATTATTATTTGCTGCAAAGTAGAGTGGAAGGATGGAATGACTGAATTCAAATCCCAACTCTGATAATTAGAAATTGTTTGAACTTTAATTCGTGGTAAAATGGGGGAGAAATGTACCTCTCTCACAGGCTCTTTCGCGTGTATTAGCTGCTAATTAGGAATAAGTATTTTTCGTGTTTCTCATCTTTCTTGGGGGCTTAAAACATAATTTTATGTCAGACTTGGTACAGAATAATTTTGTTTACACACTTTTCATCTGGAACTGTTCCTTTTTTAGTTTTGTGTTTTATCATGTGATAGTTTCTGTGCTGGGTTGTGAACACAAAGCGAGAGCCATGTCGGATTTTCTTGGCATTAATAAGGGCTTAGAAAAATAATCTTTAAATGAGTGGGAAGATGACTGTATAACATATTTGTGACTTGTGTTGTAATGCTGTTTTAGAATTTGCTTTTCTTCCAGTATAGATTTGAGTAGTTAGTTTCAGATGGGAGCATTGCTTTTTTTGTTTAATTTTGTTAGGGACATTTTGTTAGGGACTCAGCTGTTGGACTTGACCTTACTGTAGCTCTGGGATAGGAATTGAAGACGAGAGGGTGTTCTGCAGACTGTGAGCAACTTCACTTCCCCCTCTAGTCAGTCAAGCTCTTGATGCCAGCACAAATGTCTTTGGGCCTAACTTGTTACTCATCTTTCCCTGTTTCCCCCGAAACAGAGTTTATAAATAATTTTCTTTTATTTCCTTGTTTTTCCTCCTCCCCCTACCCCCACCTATTTTCTGTTAATAGGGATATTTGCTTGAAGCCAGGATCTCTGAACTTACACCCCACTCATCTCTTGACGTCTCAGTTAGTTCTGGAGAAGGTGGATGTCTTAAAGAGGGTTTTGAATCCAAGTAAGGGAACAAGAGGAGAGATCCAGGGTAGCAAACACCACCAAGCTCTGCTGCCTCGGAGATTTTTTGGGAGAAAGTGTCTGATGACGTCATCACTTCATGACACATCACCTCGTCTCTTCTCTTCAGTTCTACTTTTCTCCACTTCCCAAGATCATCTTGATTTTGCTGTCATTGTGATCAGAGACTACTTCCTTTGAATTGAGACCCACAGCCTCAGAATATCAGGATTTGTGTTGCAGTTGGATTTTTGCTCATATAAAATTGTAATGGTTTTAGCAGTAGAGATAATTTTGCTAATAGTATTAATGTTGGGAAACTTTTACAAAGTGTCAGTCATTCTATCAGTACAAGTTGTAGAAACTGTTTCCAAGAAAAGAAACTTTTATTACAATTGATTTTTCTTCCCTTTATATTTTAATGTAATAGTTTTAGCATATAGAAGGAAACATTTGAATTATGTACATTAAAAATAAACTCAGGCCTCTTGGAACTATAGTATAATGTGAGTCCCAAACACAGCAGTTATATTTGAAAGGAGACTGTATTGTTAGTTTTGGACAGGCACTTACTTGAATAATAACTCTTTAAATACAGTATTTTATCTGTTATGACTTGTGTTTGCTCTCTTCTAATTGATGGAAAAAGATGAAATGTTCAATGTAGTTATAAATTCAGATGTATTTCTGTGGATTAACTATGTGTATAACCATGTCAAAAACAATATGATTAAAAGTATTTATGATATCTCTTTCTGGGCATCATTAATGGTTTTGGTGCTCAGCAAAAAAATGGACCTATTGGAGGTGAACTATCACTTACTTGAGTTAAGGGGGTTAAGAAAAGAGAACATACTTTCAGGCTAAAGCAGTTCATTTCTTAACATATTATTTTATTTAAATTGAAGTAGAATGTGTAGGCTGTATTGAATTTTAGTCCCTGGTATGCATGTATAATGTCTTCTACTACTTCCAAGGAGAATAGAAAGATTAATACTTTTAAACTTTTAGGGAAGAAATTTTATTACTCTACGATTCTTTTTAACAATAAAAAAATCTTTGCTCTTAGACTTAAGTGTTTGGACCTTAACTAATTTTTTGTAATTGTACTTTTGTGATGGGTGGATCCCTTAATACTCTTATGGTACTATATTTAAAAGGTGACTTTTAATGATTACTGTCCTTTGGGAAAGTTAAGTTAGTGAGCAGAAACCACAACTAATACTTTACTATGACACTGCAGTCCTAAATGAGAAGTACTGTATACAAGCAGTTTCTGTACATAGAACAGGCTTCTTAAAGGATCTTAGAGTTTTGTAATTTCTTTCCTTATTACTTACAGAGATGTAGATGGTCTGTTGTGAATCCTGTCATTTTGTGATAGTAGTCAGAAATGCACAAGGTGTTATGGCAAAGTTGTTAATTAAGATTCCCACTGCTTGATATCAGAACTGTTTTAAGAGTCCAATTAGTAGATTTGGCTGGCCTCTCTAAAGACTGCCTCTCCCATCTATAGAATGAGAGGAAAAGGTAATAAAACATGTAACACACTAGCTCAGTTCTTACACAGAGAAAGTGTGAGGCAAACTAGCCCTTGTAATATAACTGCTGCAGTGGTAGAAGTAGGTTGTCCAGAACTCAGTCAGACTTTGTTGACTTAATTGTACTCTTTTTTTTGTTTTTGTTTTTTGGTCGGTTGTGGGGCTTGGGCACTATCCCTCAGCTCTTCAGCTCAAGGCGAGCGCTCTACCGCTTGAGCCATAATGCCACTTCTGGTTTTCTAGTGGTTTATTGGAGTTAAGAGTCTCACAGAGTTCCTGCCCGAGCTGGCTTTGAACTGTGATCCTTGTATCTCAGCCTCCTGAGTAGCTAGGATTACAGGCCTGAACCACCAGCACTGGGTTTAATTGTACTCTTGAAAGAACCTTGGACCTCAGTTTCTGCTTCCTTTTACCCAATAGGGTGGGTATAAGTTCTCTTGATGAAGACCTATATTTGAAGAAAAGTGAAGGATCAGGTGTGTTTGGACATGAAATTGGAATTAGGCTTTGAATTCAGGACATCAGTAAGGGAATCAAGGGAGAGAATTGGATGTGGGGTGAAGACAGGTGGTATCTTCTAGAAGGAAAGGCTCATTTGTAATGGATTTAGCTAATCAAAGCCTGAAAGATTTAGGTGACCATCTAAATAGTTGTGTATGAATGAAGCCATAACATTGCTATATGATTACCTCTTTCTTTTCCAAGGTGGATATAGGAATAGAAGTCTACTTTAATTTATGAATATAGTAGACTTGGCATCTGCAGGTATGTGGTTCTAAGGAGACGCCATTGAGGCATTCTGTTCATGCTCAAGATGCAGTGTTCATTACTGTACTGTGGATGCTTGATTCATTTTTTCCATAATAACTTTAGGCATGCCACATTTCAACAAACCTAAAAATTTCACTTTGTTACTAAAGTGCATTAACTTACTTTGGGGGCACCATATGCCTTTTGCATATTTTCACAAAGTAAGGTCAAAGAAAAGCAGATTACATAATGATTTAACACGGCTGATGATAACACAGGACTAGAAGCTTTTCTGCATCAACTGAGCTCTGTGTGTGTGTGTATTTAAAAAGTTTTGTTTCTGATTTGCCTCAGTCTTTGCTGGTAAGTTTACCTTTTCTCTGTGAGTAGCAGCTGTGTCCCTCAAGCTTATTACAGGTTTGAAGGAGAAAGAGAGAGACAGGAAAGGAGGGAAAGAGAAGAAAGAAGAAAGATTTAAGTAGTAATGAATAGGGTTTAAAGGTGTGGCTCAGTTTGTAGAGTGATAGTCAGTGAGAGAAAGTGTGGCAAGTACTGAGTTCAAGTTTCAGTCTCAAAAAGAAAAAGTAATGAATAGACAGACAGTGTGATTAGTATGTAGATTGCATATTGGAAAATTTACACTTGTAAATAATGTTGGCAAGGTGCTTGCATCTGAATTGTGGCTGGCCTTGAGTGCCAGATGCAAGAGTTCCAATTAAAGCAACAGTTAAGGAGATTTAACTAGAAGAAGAGGAAGCAGGACTTGGAGTAGGAAAACCAGGGTTGCTAGCCAGGCGCCAGTGGCTCACGCCTATAATCCTAGCTACTGAGGAGGCTGAGATACGGGGATTGTGGTTCAAAGCCAGCCCGGGCATGAAAGTCCGTGAGACTCTTATCTTCAAAAAACCATTAGAAAACCGGAAGTGGTACTGTGGCTCAAGTGGTAGAGCGCTCGCCTTGAGCTGAAGAGCTGAGGGACAGCGCCCAAGCCCCAGAGTTCAGGCCTCACGACCGACCGACAAAAAAAAAAAAAGAAAACCAGGGTCGATGGTGACCCAGCTTCATTTGTAAATCCTTGCACTATTTGTATTATTTATTCTATTCATCATTGTTTTGAGAACTAATTATATATGTCAGGTTATTGCTAGATTTTAGGCTAGAAAGACGATTAAGACCAAGTTTCTATCTTAGAACCCCCAAAGTGAAAGGTTAATCAGACCTGCTAGTTTGTGAGATAAATCATTGAGAGTCTCTAAAGATTATAGGTATTCTATCTTCAAGAAAAATTCTTTTGTTGGACTAGGAAAGGCTTCAGAGAGGTAGTGATTTCTCTAGTTTTACTAGATGGCCCCCCAGGATTGGTGTAAGCATAGGCACTGAGGGTTAGGAGGCCTGGATGTATATCGAAATCAGAGATACAGCTTGAGGAGCTTAAATACCTCATATAGATTTTAAGTGGATGAAATTCCCAGGGACACAGAGGAGAGTCCCAAGAGAAGGGAAGCAAGGACTGTCCCTGAGGAACCCAACAGTTAAAAAAAATGGGCTATAAAAGAAGAAGCACAGCTGGAGACACCGAAGCCGAAGGGAGCAAGGTCAGGTATCCTGGAAGCTAAGAGAGGAGAAAGTTACAAGATGAGAGGAGCAGCAGAGTGTCACAGCCACAATATTGACTACAAACAGGACCCAAGAATGTCAATTAGCTGTGCAGAGGGAAGTTACTTGTAACCCAGCTAGAGGCATTTGAGTGGAATGGGGAGACGGGAGTGAGATGACAGGGAGAGGATGGGGAGGAGAGGGAGGAAATGCTCTGCCCTGGCTTCTCCATGACTGGCTGTGGGCGAGGAAGGGTTAGCAGCAAGGAGGATAGTTAACAGGTCAGGGGAGGCTTTTTTACATTCTCTTTTGTTAATGAGCAAAGCCTCTGTTTTAGTCCTAGATGTGTGACCTCGACTTTCCCAACAACTGAGTAGGTTAAAGAAAATGTGTTTCTTCTAATATGCAAATACAGTTTCACTCTTGATTCGAGATAGGCTTGTCTTACTTTGTCTTCTTTTCTACGACAAAAAGTGCTAGTCGAATTAAATGTGCAGAAAATTAGAGGGATTGAAATGTGTCGGAATAAATTTGGAGTCATACATTAAGTTTTTTCTTCTTGGTCATATGGAGGTTTACCCCCTTTTTTCACAGAGTTAAATCAAGCTGAATTCTTGTGTAATTTTCTTAGGAAGAAACTCAGAGCAAACACCTTATATAAATCTAATTCTATTAAAATCACAACTTGTAGTAAAGGTGTTCCATCTGAAGCACTAGTCAGCCAGTGAGTCTTGTATATACTTCAAGTTTCATGACTGTTCTAGTCTGTTTTATAGTCAGTGTCTTGAAGTTCTGACATAAATCTACTTTTAAGTAAGAAAGAAGCTTGTCTGTCAGCACAAGAAACCAAACTAGGGTATAAAATCAGGTAAAAACCAGTTGTTCAGAACTTGGAACTAACTATAGCTACCTCCCAATCTCTCAGCTTTACTTCTTTTGAAGTGTTGCCTTCCTTTTTAACCATTGTAAACTCTTTTGGGAGCAAAACCAATGGATGCCTACAGCTTCTAGGCCTGTGTTCTCAATACTGAAACTCTCCTGTTGCTCTAGAAATCTGATTTCTTGGAGATAAGCTTACCTTGCTCCCAGTTCACTTTTTTTTGGGGGGGGTGGTGGCCGTGGGGCTTGAACTCTGGGCCTGGGCGCTGTCCCTCAGCTCTTCAGCTCAAGGCTAGCGCTCTACCAATTGAACCACAGAGCTACTTCCAGTTTTCTGCTGGTTTATTGGAGATAAGAGTTTCACAGACTTTCCTACCTGGGCTGGCTTTGAACCACGATCCTCAGATCTCAGTCTCCTGAGCAGCTAGGATTACAGACATGAGCCACCAGCACCCAGCTTTCCCAGTTCATTTTTGACCAGAGAGGTTGAGCTACTGAGATTAGCCCAGCTAGGATATCTGTCATTTGCCAAGTCACAGTGACCAAAATGGCACCTGCTAGGTGAAGATGGATGTCTCAGAAGACTGGAGGCTATTACCTGAGAAGAGAAGTGTGGAAGGGAGAAAACTGTACCTATTCAATAAGCTTGACTACCACAAAACTTGGTGAAGCCTTCATGATGGGCCTATTGATTTACAATGAAATCATGGAAAGGTTTTCTGACATCATGTTTCTCCTACAGAAGAGAACTTCAGTTGGATTATAACCTTATTGTGACAGATTTTCATTAAACCAAATACATGTCATAATTTAAAAGTAATTTCATTTGTACCAACCTGTTATGCAGTTATCTAGTGGATAATTCTTTTATTTCCATTTTTAGAGTAGAAGCTGAGCCTTAGAACAAACAAAACAAAATTAATTTTTTAAAATTAATTTTTGGTCCAAGATTCCATAAGCAGTGATAGTAGCTTTGGATTTAGAATTCAGATTTTAAATATTTCTTCCAGTATAATACTTCTGAACGTTACTGAAAGCACAATATTTAAAGGACTGTAAGAAATTGCTTGGTTTAGAAGTCTTTTTATAGGTGGCTTCTGAATTATATTTTTAAATCATTTCTTCCTGACTTATTAGACTTAGGACTTTGCACATCCCCTAGACTACCACTGGGGTTGATATAGTCTCTCCTATGGAGTAAAGTAATTTTCAGTCTCTCTTAAAAATGTCTGGCCTCCTTAGCAATTAGCATTCCCTAGCAAGGGTGGCAAGAGAGATGGCTCCATACCTACCCAAGAGTGATATGCTCATTTCCCTTACATTCTCCCATCTGATCAGAAACAGTGTATAAAATAGAAGATTTAAAATATTAAATTTATCTGTATCCTCAGTGATTCCTTGATATTTTGTTTGTTGCAGATGAGAAGAAACACATGGTTGCAAATGTGGAGAAGCAGCTTGAAGAGGCAAAAGAGCTGGTATGTGGAGACTTAGGAAGGATTTGAACACATAGCCCCCAAGACACACCTTCTTCTAGCCTGTGCATTTGAAAATGTGGAGTATTACTGATGAATGTTTTCAACTCAGAATTCATCAGCTTCTATTCAAAGGGAGTTTAATAGGTTCTTGAGATTTTATTTTCTTGAGGTGATTGAATAAAGAAAATGTTAACCTCTGTGTGTGTATATATGTATGTATGTGTGTGTTTTAAGATAAGCTGGCCTTGTGATCCTTATGTCTTAGCCTCCTGTGTGCTGATTCACTGTGTCACCATGCCCAGCTTCTAACCTCTAATTTTTTTTTGTTTTTTGTTTTTTTTTGGGTCTGGTCGTGGGGCCTGAACTCTGGGCCTGGGCACTGTCCCTCAGCTCTTCAGCTCAAGGCTAGCGCTCTACCACTTGAGCCATAGCGCCACTTCCGGCTTTTTTCTTTTTGCTTATGTGGTGCTGAGGAATTGAACCCAGGGCCTCATGCATACAAGGCAAGCTCTCCACCACTGAGCCACCTTCCCAGCCCTAACCTCTAATTTTTAAAGTACTCCTAAGAACTGCAAATATCTAGTGTTTGATAAAGGCACACCAGATTCTAGAAAATGTATTATTTACTTTATAATAATTAGCTTTCTCAAAATGTCTTTGAGACAGATACTGTTAGACAAAAACTGTGGAGGGTCTGCAAGCAGAGTAAACTTGCTTGGTTAATGGATGCTCATAGAAGACACGATACTTCTAAGTGAGAAACAGAAGGCTTGCTGTGCACAGAAGTAAAAGCAGCTAGGAAAGTTTCTCCCTGGTTGTCAGTTCCCTGACCCTGGTTCCCACAGAGTGATGCTTGTGTGTGCTTATCAAGCAGTGACCTGCTTTAATAGAATAGGAACATAGAGTCTGGAAGCCAGCCACTCTGTAGCAAGGTTGTTCTTTGGCCCAGAAGGACGCGTTTTCTCCTTCAAGGTTGCTCCCTGTGAAGAGAACATTCAACAGTGGCATGGTCAGGATGTACCCTGCATCCTTGGTCTACCCAGCAAGCCATACAGGAGTGTAAGAGAACCATGGCCAAGCGATGCCCACAGTTTTGCTACTACAATCATTGTTGATGGGTTCTGATGCTTAGAAATGTAAAGTAATTTTCCTGAGATAGCACACCCTGCTAGGTGGAACAGTAAGACTTTGTACCTAGATATACTAAATTCAGAGCTCTAGCCCATACATTACTTTTTTTATATATATAATAATACGTTCCTAGACAGGTACTAGCAGCTCATGCCTGTAATTCTAGCTACTCAGATGGCTGAGATCTGGAGGTCAAGTTTAAAGCCAGTCTGGGCAGGGAAGTCCATGAGAATGTTTTTATCTCCATTTAACCAGAAATGAGTCACAAGTAGAGCTGTGACTTAAATTCAAATTGTAGAGTGCTAGCCTTGGGTGAAAAAGCTGGGACAGTGCCAAAGTCCTGAGTTCACACACACACACACACACACACACACACACACTCCTAATCAGGAAGAAAAATGGGTAAAATACTGTACCAAGTATGTATTACAAGTATGATTCAATTTTCTGCTATGAGTATAGTCCCACTGAAAGCACTGCTTTTCTGAATATGGTGCTATTTAGTCTTCCTTCAGTATTTCTGGTTGATTGGCTTAGGACAGTTTCCTAAAATGTTTCTCTTAACTGGTCTGACTTGTTCAAAAAATTTGGAAAACTAACTTAAGCAGAGCTGGATGTGCAGGTCTCTGTGGATGTTGTTTTTTTGGAGAACCTTCTGGACCCTTAGATAGGCTCTAAGAAATTGTGAGTCTCTCTAAAAATGACCTCTAGAAGTTGGCTAGAATGGAATATTTCCCAAGTTTGTCTGAGTTTGTTATTAACAGGCTTATTTGGATTTGCTAACAGGACCACATATGAGAAGCTAGCTTTGAGGGTATTAAGAAGGGGCAGTTGTTCCCCCCCTGCCTAGAAGCAATGCTTCAGTGTCTTCGATCACTGAGATACTGGCACTGGTTCTTTTCTAGGTATCAAAACTGATATAGGGGGCTTGGAAAGTGGCTCAGTGGTAGAGTGCTTGCCTTGCATGCATGAGGCCCTGGGTTTAATTCCTCAGTACCACATAAGCAGCAAAAGCTGGAAGTGGCCCTATGGCTCAAAGTGGTAGAGTGCTAGCCTTGAGCCTTGAGCTAAGAAACAGCGTCCAGGCCCAGAGTTCAGGCGCCACGACCAACAACAACAACAACAAAACTGATGTAAGCTTGGCTATAATGGCTCATGCCTGTAATCCTAGCTACTCAGGAGGCTGAGATCTGAGGATTAAGGTTCAAAGCCAGCCTGGACAGGGAAGTCCATGAGACTTTTACCTTTAATTAGCCACCAGAAAACTGGAAGTGGCACTGTGGATTCAAGTGGTAGAGCACTAGCCTTGAGCAAAAGAGTTCAAGACAGTGTGCCCAGGCCCCAAGTTCAAATCCCATAACCAGCAAAAAACAAACCAGCTACAGGGCCTGGCAGCTTTACCTCAGTCTCTACAACTTGTCATGTTAGCTTCTCCTTTGAAAGATTCTTTGTTTTTTATGCCTTTCTCCTTACTTTTGTCTCTTTTTTTTGCATGAACCTGCTTCTCCTGTAATCCCTGGCTTTTGTGTAAAAATCCTTGCATTTTATACAAATCAGTCAGACAGCATGTCTTCCTCTGGTGGCTAGCACAACCATAAATATTATAAATGTTTAATTCTTTGGATCTTGAGGTGACTTTTTGCATTATTAAAGTCTCAGGAACAGTGTTTTTTTGTGTTTTTGTTTATTTGTTTGGTTTTTGGTGAGTGAGGAGAGCATCAAACTTGGTGTTTTAGTTTATTTGCCTTCTCTGGAGACATTCCAGAGATAATGATAGCAAGCCAATCTGCTGACTGAGGTTTTACTGTCTGTAATCAAGTGTAGAACAAAGCTGTGCCTTTACAGGGCAGCTTATAGTTGTCTTTAACAATTGCTAGTGTAAAGCATTTTGTCTGAGACAGGCATTTCTGTTGGTTTAAAAATGACAAGGATGCTGACGTAGTTAGTTCTGATGACATTTGTACTGCCGACAGTGTTGATATGTTACACTCAGTCCTTTTGAGGAGGACCTTGGGAGAAACACTTGGTTTTGATTTGGCTGTTAGGAGTCACTCTGTCTTTGCTGAACAGTTGGTTTGTGTTACTGTCTCAGAGATTGCACATCTTCCACTGACCATGTCTTCCACTCGCTGATGGCATGTGAATGTGGTAACAACACTAAGTGAATGTGTCTTGTCCTTACTAATGGCCTTTATTGAGTTTGTGTATTTCTTTTTTTTTTTGGGTCCAGTCGTGGGGCCTGAACTCTGGGCCTGGGCGCTGTCCCTCAGCTCTTCAGCTCAAGGCTAGTGCTCTACCACTTGAGCCACAGCGCCACTTCCGGCTTTTTTCTTTTTGCTTATGTGGTGCTGAGGAATCAAACCCAGGGCCTCAGGCATGCATGGCAAGCGCGCTACCACTGAGCCACCTTCCCAGCCCAATGTTTGTGTATTTCTTTTTCTTTATTTCTCTAATTTCTGTCCAACTTCATTTAAGATACCCTTGGAAAATACCTTAACACAATAATTTATTTACCTCTCAGATTTTGACTTACATGTACTTTTGCAATTGTCTGGATGATTCCATTTATCTTTTGAGAGGCAAATAGTTAATTTCTAAGAAGTGCTCTAAGTAATTGCCTTACTAAGTAATGGTTTAATGATTGGAATTTCACACTTATTTTGAAACATGTCAATAATTTAGATAACGTTTAAGGCTTTTTTTCTTACAAATGTAGAGGTCTGTTTATTAAAATGGGTTCTCTCCTATAGATATCTATTATAGCTGATCTATGGACTTATCTGTGATAATTATTCCATTTCTAACTCTGGAAAATTAGTGACAAGCTTATATTGTTAATGGAAATAACTTTGTAGAATGTTCTGAGAAGCAAATTATATTACATACAACATTTCTGTATTTAAATTGTCAGACATGGCTTTAGCCAACCTATTTTTTTAAACCAGATTTTATATATATATATATATATATATATTTTTTTTTTATTTGAAACTCTTTAGCTATGTCTACCTGGCATAGTGCTTGCTCTATTTCATCTTCATCATCAGTCATCATCATTATTACAATTGATGTCAATTTCATAAGTAAGAGATTGCTAAATATATTTTAGGGGATACCTCATATAATGTTCACAACTGCCCCTAGAAAGACCTATTATTCTTGGAAATGGGAAAATAAGGCAGAGAGACATTAAAACCCTGTTCAAGTTCCCATGAATAATAAGTAGCTTATAATGTAAACATAGGCTTCCCTCTAGGTTCTGAACCATTATTGTATGTCTGCATTGCAGCCTAATAAACTAATATTTTATATCCAAAGCATTTTATGAAAAGGGGTTGTTAAAAAGTGCCCTGTTGTTATTTCATAGAACAATGTATAATTTGCCACATTGCTGTATCCAGTTAACTCAATATGGAAGCCTATTGGTTGAGAACACATGTGTATGATTTTTCTAAGCAGAAAATGCTGCTTCCTAAAAGACGTTTCCCCAAATGAACAATGCTGGGCTGATGTTTTATGGATTAACCACAAGAAATGATGGTATTGTCTATCTTCTAATTGTTGTGGTCAGAAGGCCAGACCAGGTTAGACTGAATGATGGACTACTCCTCCAATATTAATGGTTGGATTAGTGCTTATATTTCAAAAGACATTCCTTAAGGCAGATGCTGGTGGATCATGACTGCAGTCCCAGCTACTGAAGAGGCTGAAATCTGAGGATTGTGGTTCAAAACCAGCCTAGGCAGACAAATCTGAGAGTCTTACCTAACTAGCAAAAAGTAGCTAGGAAAAATCCAGAAGCAGAGATGTGGCTCAAGCAGTTGAACCCTAGCCTTGGATTTGTGTGTGGTTAGGGGAGTGGGGAACTTAAACTCAGAGCTTTACACTCTCTCTTAGCCTTTTTACTCAAGGGTAATGCTTTACCACTTTAGCTATGCCTCCAGTTCCATTGAAGAATTCTTGACAAGTAAGCAGCTGTGCACTTTGTGTGTTACTTAGCAAGTGCTCAGCAACTGCTTGTTGAACTAAAAGGTTGAGGACAAAGTAGTTACAATGTTATTTGATCATGGACGGTTAGCATTTGTGGGACCTGTTCCTCAACTGTGAAATGAAGATTTGGAATCAAATCCTTTCAGCTTCAAACATTTGGTCAAATAAAGAAAAAGCATGTGATTTATGTCATGCTTTCTCTCCCACTTCTAGCTTGAACAGATGGATTTGGAAGTCCGAGAAATACCACCCCAAAGTCGAGGAATGTACAGTAACAGAATGAGAAGCTATAAGCAAGAAATGGGAAAACTGGAAGCAGATTTTGTGAGTAAAATTCCATCCTTGTTATACTTACTGATTTCTAAACTGCATTTTCATTTGTATTTTTTATTGTTTTCACCTTGTGCCCTAATTCAGGAGGCCCTGCAAAGACCAAGCTACAGCTTTCATTATGAATCATAGATCACATGGTTTCTAGAAATAGGGAATTTAAAGTATGTTGGATTCATGATTCATAGCTAGATCCACAGCCTGTGGCCTCTTGAGTCTGCATAGCATTTATTGGTATCTAGTTGCTGGCTTTCCAGAGTGGTATCCTTTAAAATGGGCTTAAGGGGTTCTAAACCTCCTGAGAGCAAGCATATCTCTGTTTTTGGATGTATGGTTCTCCATATATTTTCCCCTCCACTATGATGAACTCCCTGTATACATTTTATTTTATTTTATTTATTTATTTTTGGGTCCGGTCATGGGACCTGAACTCTGGGCCTGGGCACTGTCCCTCAGCTCTTCAGCTCAAGGCTAGCGCTCTACCACTTGAGCTACAGTGCCACTTCCGGCTTTTTTCTTTTTGCTTATGTGGTGCTGGGGAATCAAACCCAGGGCCTCAGGCATGCAAGGCAAGCTCTCTACCACTGAGCCACCTTCCCAGCCCCCTCCCTGTATACATTTTAAAGGGATGTCTTATGCCCATCCCCCAAGTTGTAAAGAATTACTTTCAATAGTGATTTGTATAAACAACCCTGTAATGTTGATTGCCCACCGGGTACCAGTGGCTCACGCCTGTAATCCTAGCCATTCAGGAGACTGAGATCTGAGGATTGCTGTTCAAAACCATCTTGGTTCAGTAAAGTCCATGCGACTTTTATCTTCAGTTAATCACCGGAAAACTGGAAGTGGCTGTGTGGATCGAAGTGGTAGAGCACTAGCCTTGAGTGAAAAAGCTCAGGGACAGTGCCCAGGCCCTGAGTTCAATCCCCAACAACAACAAAAAATATTGATTAGCTTTCTCTTCTTATATATATCAGGTTTTTTTTTGAACTCTTCTCTGTTTGTAGCATATCTAAGAATGTAAATTTAAAGTTATAATGTTAAAATGCTCAGGAATTAGAGACAGATCAGCAAAAATTCTACATTTAGTTAAATATCCAAAAAATGGATAGCCAGTGCTTGAAGAGCTTTTCTCCTAGCAACATTTTTACAATGGTAAAAAGATGAAAGCAACCTACGTATCAGGGATGGATGGTAAACAAAATGTCCAGTGAAATATGTCCAGGAAATAGTGATACGGGATGAATCTTTTTTTTTTTTTGGGTCCAGTTGTGGTGCCTGAACTCTGGGCCTGGGCACTGTCCTTCAGCTCTTCAGCTCAAGGCTAGCGCTCTACCACTTGAGCTACAGCGCCACTTCCGGCTTTTTTCTTTTTGCATATGTGGTGCTGGGGAATCGAACCCAGGGCCTCATGCATGCAAGGCAAGCACTCTACCACTGAGCCACCTTCCCAGTCCACGGGATGAATCTTGAGCTAGGTGAAAGTCTCAAAAGAAAAAAACTTATTATCTAATTTAACTTAGCATGAGATCTTTAGGGGTAGTCATACTCACAGAGACGAAAAATAGACTGGTGATTTAAGAGGGAGAAAAGTGTTGTTTAATGTATACAGACTTTGAATCTTGCAAGATGAAGAGTTCTGCTGAGCAATTACAATAGTGTGCTACCATTGCAACATCCTATAGTCCTTGGGTAGCTTAAGCAACAGAAATTTGTTTTCTGACCGTTCTGGAGGTAGGACATCTGAGGTTAAGGTGTTGGCAAAGTCAACATCTCTGTAGCTTCTCTGGTTTACAGGTGGCTTCTCCCTTTTACTCATGCAGTCTTCTGCACATGTTTGTGTCTTTGTTTTCTGTTCTTGCAAGGACACACACTAATAATCTCTTGACTTTGTCTCCAAATACAGTCACTTTCTCAGTACTGAAGATTAGTACTTCGTCATGTAAACTTGAGAGTGATACAACTCAGCCCAGAGCATTGAGTTTAGTTTTAATGTTTCTACCTTTTCCTCCCAGAAGTTGTTACTCCTTTGCTTATTATAAAACTTCATCTAATGTTCAGTCATCTAATTTGTTTCCCATATAATTTGATACTGGCTAGAGTCCTTTGTTTTAGGTATTTGGAAATTATATCCTTTTTTAGCTATGTTTCTATTATGAAGAAAAATGGGACAATAACTATTAAAATTTATTCTATGGGCTATCTTTAAATATTTATGTATTTGCTACCTCATCTTTCTTCTACTATGTGAAGAAACATCTTTCACTATCATTACAATTTCATTTTCTTTAGAGGCAAATTTTTATTACTGATATACTTACTAGCATGTATTAGTTGTACAGAGTTCAAAGGATTACTGTAATATTTCCATACATGCATGCATCCTGCATTGATCATGTCCATCTGCCTTTCCTCTACCCATAAAACCCCTCCCCAAGTCTCTTAGCATCCATCCCATTCCTAAGTCTTTCTTAGTTTCTTTCTTTTTTCCCCTCTGTTCCTTGCCTTTATTTTTTTTTGGTCCGGTCGTGGGGCCTGAACTCTGGGCCTGGGCGATGTCCCTCAGCTCTGCAGCTCAAGGCTAGCACTCTACCACTTGAGCCACAGCCACTCCCGGCTTTTTTCTTTTTTCTTATGTGGTGCTGAGGAATCGAACCCAGGGCCTCATGCATGCAAGGCAAGCACTCTACCACTGAGCCACCTTCCCAGCCTCTGTTCCTTGTCTTAATGGCTAAGTGGCCACTATACCAAACTGACCTTCAATAAGGTCGAATTGACCTTCAATTAGATTGAATTGATCTTCAATAAGGTTGAATTGCTGGTTTCTGTAAATGGATGAGAAAGGTGGCATTTGTGTTTCTGCAGCACGGCCACTTCACATGCACAGTGATCAGTAGTCTATAAGGGACTTTAACCTGGGTCGTTTCATTTCTTGGTATGAAGAGTGGACAGAACAGATGTGAATTCCTCTCCCCGTTCACACATGATAGAACCTGTTCTATCAGATTAAGTAGAGATTTTTATTAATGCACATTAGTTGTCCAAAATGAGGGGTTTACTTATGACATTTTTATGCATGCATGTAGTGATCATACTCACTCTATTACTGTCTCATCCCCTTCCCCTTCTTTCCACATCTCTAGTAGTGCCCTCTTCACTTTTGCGTCCTCTCCCAGCCCCAACATTTTCCAAAGAAAGAAAATGTGAAGTATTTTGTCTTTGTGGGCCTCTCTAGTTCCATCCATTTCTCTTTAGACAACCTCATTTTATTTTTTATGGCTGAGTGTATATATACTGAGTATATATATACTGAGTATATAATATAGTATATATGATACTGAGTCTATATATACTGAGTATATATATTTATATATATATATATATACTGACCATAAATATATATATATACATATATATATATTCAGCGTATGATTACACATTGTATATGTAACACAATATACACTATGTTTTCTTTATCTTCTCATCTGTTTACAGGTACCTAGGTCAATTCCACAGTTTGTCTATTGTGAATAATGGCAAAATAAACATGAACATACAGATTATCTCTATTATAAACTGACATTGATTTATGAGGTGTATGCCTAAAGTGCTATCGCTGAATCACATGGTAGTTTTAATTGTATTGTCCATTATTGTTGGCAGTGCTGTGGTTGGAACTCATAGCTTTGAGCTTGCTAGGTAGGCACTATACCATCTGGGCCATGTCTTAGCCCCCATTTTTGGAAAAATCCCTGTACTGATCTCCATAGTGGCTGCATTAACTTACAATTCTCAGTAGTGACTAATGGTTTCTTTGTCCCTGCGCCATCACCAACATTTTCTGCAGGCTTCAGAGAATGTTGAGCTGTTAGATAACATGCAGTGATCTTTTCTGGGTCTTCTCTAGAGTGTTGTTAAGATATGTCTTGAGTAACCTTACTTCTAAGATGTGGTGTTTTGAGGCTCCAGTTGAATGGTTTGAGTGCTCAGTGGTTACTCTTCTTTCTGTTTGGTTTTCATTCTGTCCGAGACACTGGGCAGTCTCCAGAACCCCAGCTTCCCCACTCACAGGATCTTTCCTTCTGCATATTCGTTTTCATCCAGACTTAAGGGAGACCCCATTACGGAAATTTGGAGTTCCTCTTTGGTTCCAGTCTTACCACTTCATTGCTGAATCGTACCTATGCCATCAGTACCAAACTCCAGTTGCTGCCTTGTACATTTAGTGGTGCTGCCCTCTGTATGGGCTCTCTTCTATGTGCTGCAATCCCCAAAGGGCCTCCAGGCTGGTGTGATGGCTGTGTGAGTTTGTTTCATGTTTCTCTTCTCCAAGAGACCGAAATCCTATAATACCCATTGTCTTAAGTTTTAAACAATTGCTGTATACATTGTGCCCATTTTTTTTTGTCTACTGTTTAGAGCTGGAGGGTTAGTTTAGGACTGACAGTTCTGTTCCTTCATGGATAATTTTGTCCATGAAAAAAATAATAGTTGTGTTTATAATGATTTATCATCGAACACAAAATTTGTAACTGACTGGGGACTCATGCAAGAGGTTTTTAAAACTTAGACTGTAGTTTTTTTTTTTTTTATATTTTTGGAGGCTAAGGGAATCTAATGGTCACATTTGTGTTTAATTTCTTCTGGGAACTATTGTGGCTCCTGTTGAATCTCTTCACTTGCTCAGTATTGTTCAGTTTTATCTTCAAGTCGTCTTGGATTAAGTCTGGAAGGATTCATCTGTTTACCCTATATTTCAGATGAGGAGGTGGAGGACAGGGAGACCACATGACTTCCCATAAAGCCATGTGGTTATTAGAAGTAGAACTAGAATCAGATTACCTCAGCACTCATTCTAGTGTTCTTTCCAGTCTTTTGAGTCCCTCGCCCCACTTCAGGTTCGTATGAAGAGTTACTGAATAACATCTTTTTATATAGGAAAAATCTTTCTTAGCAAATAAGAATTCAGCCAAGTGTTGATAAGAATACATATC